CAAGATGTTCTTACTGTGTTTTGTGATAGTCAGAGTACTATTTACTTTACCAAGAATAACCGCTACCATAACAGGACAAAACATATTGATGTGAGACATCATTTTATCCGAGAAATTGTTGCTAAGGGTGAAGTCGTGGTTCAGAAGATTCATACATCTGAGAATCCAGCTAATATGTTTACTAAGCCTCTTCCAAAGGCCAAGTTCCAGCATTACTTGGACTTGGTTGATCTCTACAGCACTTGAACACCCTTCGGGGTTTAAACGACGTCGAGCAATTTATCAAAACTGATCCAAGGTGAAGATTGTTAGTCAAAATTTGTAGGCACCGCTAATTTGTGGCTCAGTTTTTCAATTGACACTGGCAGACATTTAATTTATGTCGGCACCGTCCGAAAATGCATCGAATTGTCAAATTTTGCTACAGTAAATTAATGTAGCAATGTTGAAATTTTGAAAAGTTACTGTAGCAATTTTTTGCCTATAAAAGGCAACGAATTAACGAAGGGAGCTATGCACATCATTCACAGATCTGTGAGAAAAAAAATACTGAGAGAAAATTGAGTGTTATTTTGTAACTCTTATTCCATTTTGAGAGAGTATTTATTGAGAGAAAAATATAGTGATTTATTATTCTTTATCCTCATAATTTTAGAGGACTTCTTGTACTCTCCCTTTTACATAATAAAATTATTTTGCTCGTCGTCGTCCGTAGGTTTTTTCTCTGATTTGGAATTTTTCCCACGTTAAAATCTTGTTTCCATTATTCTCTTCCTTCTCTTTATTTCCAATTAAATTTGATTTAGTCTTCCGCATTGCTTTGATACCCCAACACATTTTATACTTTGTTACATAGGTTTTATGATTTGAATTTTTATATCAAATTAAATAAAGATTCTCATTGGTTAAATAGGTTATACAAGGTTTATGTTTGGAATATAGAATGCGGCTATCTTTTTTATGTTATGTAATTGTCAATGTATAAAACAGTTTGGAAAATATTAACAATATTATATATTAGCCTTTGTTTATCTAAATAAATGATTTTATGATCAATTATTTAATTAAAAAACTTCTTATTTTTAATTGTTTTCAATAAAAAAAAATATTAAAATAAACGCTTAAATAAACTATATACCTAATTACATTATAAATTCTTTGTCTCAAATTTTGTTTTATTTAAAGTAATTATTGATAAAGGAATATTCTTTGATATTAACTGTATTTGTTTGAGGATAATTATCGACACTTTTACCACGATAATACAGTTTTAGTTTACTTATCAAAATAATATTATGTAGAAGTTAATTATTAAAATTGGTAAATTTAATAATATAATAAAATATTGAGTGAAAGAAACTAAGTATGTTTAATAAATGTAAAATTAGAATTAAAATTTTATTTTAAAATTTAGTCAAAATAGAAGAGAAACTAAATTTTAAATTAAAATTCTAACACTAAGACCTTGCATACACCATGTTAATTTTGAACGTGTGATACATGTCACGTTGTAATGTATAATATATTTTTTTCAACACTAGTCTAACTTATTGAATCCATTTATTTTAGTAATTAATTTTTAAATACATTGTTTTAATAAATAAATTTAAAATTTCATTGTTGTCGTTAAAAAGTAATTATTATATCAATGTAATTTTGTATTTCTGGCATATTTTCATTGTGATTAATATATTGCCTCGGCATATATTAATCATAATTGCAAGCATAAGTTTAATTGAGCCTTTTTCAAATCGACCCAATTTTCAAAACAAAAATAAATATTGACTCAATTGACTAGTTCATGATCTGTACCAAAGAAAAAAAAAAAAGACCAGTTCATGAGAAAAAAAAAAATTGACCAGTCTAAACTAGACTAGTTCATTGACCAACAAATTAAGAAAAACTAATTCTATTCTTTCTTACGCAATTTGATTTGATAATTTATTTTAATTAGTTTCAATTTTGGTAAACTTGCAGAGACTTTTAGAGAAACAGTTATAAAATAAAAAAATTAATATTCTTTTTATAAATTAAAAACAACATATTTTTTAAATTAAAAATAATAATAAAAGCTTCTCAAAGCTTATAAAAAAATAAAGAAATATAAATTACTTTTAACTTATAAAAAATTATTTATTTTGTATATTTAATTTTTTCTTCTGTAAAAATTATCCAAATTAAACTTTAAACTAACTTTTCAAAAGATAATTGAAATTTATCAAGTTAGACCCCACATAAATATTTTAGCCAACACAAACTTGATTGATAAGTGTGAGATTTGTATTAATTTACTTTGCATTTAAAATTGAAAAGAATTGTGATTTGTTTTATCAACTATGCAACCACATTTAATAATGAATGAACGGTTGAAATAATATATTTTTATTTTTATTATAAATAAAGCCTCAAATTCAAATTATATATATATATATATATATATATATATATAATTTTTACTAAAAACTAATCCACCATATTACAAATATGTTTACTTTAAATAAAATTATTTTTATAGAAATACTTTCATTGTAATGAAAAAATTATTCCTGACAATTTTTTTTTGTTTTAATTAAGTTTGAAAATAATTTACCTAATTGTATTCATAGTTTTATTAAATAAAATACATAAATAATTATTAATCATTAATACTTAGGAAGTATTAATTGTTTTTAATTTTTTCTGACAGTATTTAATTGTGAATTTTAATTAGCTTACTGTGTGTTGAAAGCATTCTACAATCAAATATTACCAGAAAAAAATTAAAATAAATTTTCAACACCAGTCAAAGTCAAGCATGCTTTAAATATTCAATGGGATATAATGACTTTTATTTTTTTTATTTTTACATGATGAATTACCCTCATTTTTCTTCATCTAAAAGGGAAACTTGATAATTTATTAAGTTCCTAATAACATTAAGGGCTGCCGTTGTAAACAAAATAGCATAAAAAATGATAAAATATAAATATAATTGATTTTTAACTTATTTTATATTTGATGTCAGTCAAAATAACAAGTTAGATATAGTTTATTATTTTATCTTATTTGTTTTTAACTCAAACCTCAATTCCATACTAAAAAATTAGATAAGATGAGTGACATATCTTGTTAATTAAAAAATAACTTAAAAATATAAAAAAAATTGAACATTTCATCTCATTCTCATATAGGGATGGCAATGGGTAAAGTACCCGATGTGCACCCACAAAATTTACCCACAATGGGTAGGGTATTTACCCGCTATACGGGTACGGGTATGGGTGTGGGTAAAAACACGCAAATTTTAATGGGGATGGGTGCGGGTATGGGTATTTATGTACCCACCCCGCCCCATACCCGCATATATATATATATGCTTGAACTTTATTCTACAATTATGCATTGAATTTTTGTATTATTATATTACTTATGTGAAGTTATATAAGATTAATATAAAAACATATTTAATAATAAAATAAACCAAAAAATTTATTTTGGTTTATATTTTTAATAGAAAAATTTATTTACTATTTTATATCATTTAATTAGGCTAACACAATTTAATTATTACATAGTTAATATAAGATTGACTTTTTTTAAAATATTATTTATATATGATACACATAAAATATTTTTTACACAAATATTTTTGTTAATAAAATCATATTGATGTTTAAAGTATAAAGTGAATGATAAATAATAAATATATTATAAATATTTTATAAATTTTACAATCACCTACTATTACCGTAAACTTATTATTTATTAATAATATTTAAATTTTATTTTTATATTTTAATTTAAAATAATATTTTTCTATGTAACATATGTATTACAAGTACAACTATAATCTGTTGAATCTAAATAATATTATTCTTACTATTTATTCACATTCAAAGAAGTTTTTGAAAAGATATAAATATAAAAAATTATTGTTAATTTTTTTAAGATAAAAAAGTATAATTTTTTTTAATATACACGTATATTTCTTTATTATAAAATTTTATTGTAACTATTTATCTTTTATTTAAATTCTTTTTTTTAAAATTTATATACATTATAAATATTTAATTCACTAAAATAATTTTTCAAAAATTTATATTTTTGATAAAATACTTTTGTATAGTATATGAGTTAAAAAATACTAGTATTAATATATATATATTAATTATATTATATTATTTTAATTAAATCTATTATTTTTCTTACAATTTCAAATTCAAAAGTTAAAAAAAATATTTTATGTATCAACTTTCTATTGTTAGTATTGAACTTCTCGACTCTAACTCTATTCTCATTCTCAATGTCTGTCTCGCTAAAACTTAATAAAACTATAAAATGTTATTCATTAGAGTTAGTTGTTAATGTCGTCACATGAGGTTACTAAGTGATCCCACACGAAGGGATAACCATTGTACAAATCTATTTCGTTGTCGTTCTGACATTACCAACAATCAAATCTCACACAAGATAGGATTATCATTGACAAGTAACTTGTGTGTTTAGTTTTCCTTATTGTTTCTAAGAATTTTAGTTTAGAAAATTATTATATTAAGATACATTTAACATTTATGATCTTTGAATATTTGTTTTTTATCTATATTTGTACCTTGTTTGGCAACTACATATTGAATTTTTGTATTATTATGCTACTTATGTGAAATTATATAAACATATTTTTTTTTATAAATATTTTTTCTCAAACAAGCGCGGGTAATGGGTACAAGACAGGTATGCGGGTACCCAGAGGGTACGGGTACGGGGATTAATATTCATACCCATGCGTGTATGGGACCGGGTACGGGTATTTTTTTAAAACGCGGGTATGAGAATGGGTATTGTAGTACCCTACCCATACCCTACCCATTGCCATCCCTATTCTCATATTATCACACTAATAAAATTCTAAGTATATTTTCATAATAACTCTATTAATATTTATTGAATAAAAATAAAAAAGTCTTAAATTAAGATAATATTTAAAAGAAATAAAGAGAGAGAATGGGTGAAAAGTTGATAAATTTTGTGAAACCTTGGGACCTTCTAGAGAAGCGGTCTCTCTCCGTTTGTAGCAAACAAACAGCGTCACCACCTAACCCCTCCGATCTCTTCGATTCCGCCATTCATCCATGGCCGACGATTATGAATTCGTCGATAAAGTTCCTCCTTCCTTCGATCGTGTGGTACTTCTTTCCCTCGCTTTCTATTCTTTGTTCTGTTTCTGTCATTCGTTTTTTCATCAAAACGGATCATAAATCCAAATTGTGAATCTCTCATTCTCATATCCTTCCATTCATTGACAAATTAATATGCTGCATTTTTTTTTTGCTTTAATTTTTCATGCAATTGCAAATGCTCTTCTCAAAATAAATAATAATAATTTTTATTTAATTTTTTATGATTGCCTGCTTGTGTGAGCATTCCATTAGGTATTCTTAAAGATTATTGTTTGATGTGTGGGTTAATTCTTCGGTTTGTTCAATGCATTTTTATTTGAGTTTATGTTAATCAATGCTTTAGATGCTAACATGAATACAAGACAAGGTTCAATTTTTAATATTTTCTTTCTCTCTTCACTCAATGAAACGGGACAATCTTTTAAGGAGATACCTATCCTTGAATGCATAAAGCTCGTTTTTTTTTATTAACATTCCAATTTGCAGTTTCATGTATCAATTCAATAGCGTTTCAACCAATAAGATATGATTAATTGAGGCCAATTTGCATTTTTGAAAAACAGCATTCTGAGCAAGCTTGTAGCATTCTGTGTTTCTAGTTTTGACTTGTGCTGATTTTTGTATATCTTAGTTTTACTCCTTCTAACAATAGGTTGCAAGTTATTATTTCTGATAAATTCTCTGTAAAACAGCTTGCAATTTTATAAATTCACTTTGTGCAACAAAGTAGCCTCTTCCAATATTCGAATGTCATAAACCTTTATCCCCAATCTCAATCAAGTCCAATCATAAAATATTTACATGGAGAATATTCTTTTTAAAAGAAAAAGTTCTGCCTTAACTAAGTCATATAAAATCACCTTTCTCCTGCTTGGATGTTCCCCTTGAAATAAACAGAGGCTCTCCTTTGGAAAAAACTATAATTTACATGTTATCTTATCCTTGGATGGCATTGACAATTGTTAGCGGTGGTGAATTGGATTCCTGTATATTGATTATTAATTTTGTAATTTCTTTTTCTTGATTGCTTTTTTACATGACCTCATGGAAGTGTCTTCTTATTATTTGTTATAGGGAAATGTGATTAAGGATTCTTCTTCAAAAGGTTTCAACCCAGGATTAATTGTTCTCCTGCTTGTTGTGGGGTTGCTGTTGATATTCCTCGTTGGAAATTATGTATTGTACACATATGCACAGAAGACACTCCCTCCAAGAAAAAAGAAGCCAGTCTCAAAGAAGAAGATGAAAAAGGAGAAACTGAAGCAAGGCATCTCTGCACCTGGAGAGTAGACTTTTACTCACTTTATATTCTGTGTTGTTAAATTATACTCTTCAGAAAAAAATTCACATTCTATGGTCTCCAGAGTTATGTTAATGTTTATCGTTATCCTATATGCTACTGATTTAAATTTTGACCATATAAATTAGTACTTAAGCAACATATTTGGGACAAATTGGTTTCATGGTTAACTCATCATTTCGCTTGCCCTTGGATTATTCAATTTCTTAGGGAGGGGGCTTAATTCTCCTTAGTTACAAACTTACAGTTAGTTTCTTTTTTTTTCTCGTTCGAAATGAACTAATAATTCAATGCTACAAATTATAGCTTTTAACTTAATTTAACATGATTTTATTAGGTTTGAAACACGCATTAAAACAGAGGAAACCCTTTTTCAATGCAACCTTCACCGCCAGTGACAATGTTTACTTCGATTTCTTTCCTTCTATCCCCAACACTTCCATTACCACTTCAGATCTTTGTTTTTATGACTTTACCACCAACCCTTCCTTTGTTTCTTTTACCGTTGACCTCTTCCGCATCAACTACAGCCCCTAGATGAAGAGGTGAATGATTTTGGGGTGGTAGTGGATATTTCTTATGATTTTGGGAAAGCTAAGTTTGCCACTTTTGATGGTTTTCAAGGGGCCATTACGGCACTTTTGGAGAGTGGGTGTTCAAACACACCGTTGTTTTTCATTTTCTTATCACAAACAGGTTTCTAAAATTGTTTTGCAAAATGATTTTTAAAAAGTAAAAACACAATCAAACAAGCTATTAAGTCTATCATTGTTTTAGAATATACTAAATCTGCCCCTTTTTGTTGTATTTGTCCTCACATGTATGTCCAAAACTAGGATAGTTTGATAGGTTTTTTAATCTAATTATTGAAATCCTCCGTCTTGACAGGTTTCTCGTTCATACTCTCATCAACATTCATACTTTGATACGCAATTAATCCAAACCCATCATCGTCATTTATAGTCACTCCTTTCCATGCTTGTTAATTTTCATTTTTCTTAATTTTCGTACGATGCCATTTTCTTCCAATCTCTCTCTTTTCTTGAGGGGCGGATTCCTGTTGCTGGTTTCCAGCAATGGCTTTAATGGCTCCGACAATGGAGTAATTTTTTTGTACTCCTATATTACGTTTTTCTTTATTTAGTAATTGTATTCTTAATTTAAAAATTTAAATTAAGAAAAAGCTAACAATGTAAAAACGAGCGTTGTTACTTAAGAAAATGAGTATGTACTGAGACTGAAAAATTATCCTGATAATGAGCGTGTTCTTCCGAGTTGGCATGGAACGTGGGTGGCATTTCTATCTTAATTGTTTGGTAGCATCACTCAATTACGGACACCATATTAGATCCTGTAAGACAGAGGGTGTGTGCTATGCACTTTTGCTTTCGTTGCAATTGAATGTGGTTGAAAACGGTCAATTCTGTCACTGCTTTGATTTTTAGTGAGTATTTATTAATGTAATATAAAAGAAGGGCTTTAGGAAGCATTAATTTTGAGACGATAAGGGTGGGTGGCCTGTTGTGGAGGTGGTTCCCAAAGAAGCACTTACGGTTGCATGTTTCTGTCATCCACCAATTTCCCCAATCCTACACCCTTATTTGGCTATCACCGTCTTCTCCATGTTATTATCTAAACTTCTATCTGTTGCTTTCGCTCAATAATTTTAGTCGCTATTAATTATTATTATCAACTTATAATTAAAAAATGCTTAAAATATTATCCTAAAATTTGTTATCAATGAACTCATTTTAGACATACTTTAGTCGTTTACATACCTCGCGATTAAATACATAAAAAGCCTAAGTATTATTGAGAAAAAAAAAAGGAAATTTTTTTAAAGCTTCAATTTTATTGAATGTTTATTGGTAGGGAAGGTTGAAAATAAAACTGCTATAATTAATATTAATCAATAATTAATAGCGCGATTCATCTACGGTCAATAAATTCCTTCTAGATAACAAGTTTATAGATGGATATTTAATTATTTTACTTTAAAATACATTTTTATAAAATAAAGTTTAATATATATATTATATACTCAAATACTGTATAATTTAAGAATTTTCCCTCAAAGACTCAATCAATATATTTTGGATTACTTAATTTACTAACTTATAAAAATATATTAAATGGCTTAGTGTTTATCAAATAATATTATAACAATGACAATTTAATCTGATTAATTGATTAATTTGTTTATAATAAAATGAATTTATACATGAATAAATTAAAGAATTAAATTGCCACTCATACCGGATAATGTTTCACAGTATAAATTGTTGAATCATTCAGCCCAAACTGTTTTTCCTAAAATGATGATTTCATGTTTTTCCTATCATCAATTATACACATGACAGAGCATAATGACACAACATATCGCCATTCCAATCATTACATTCTCTAACAAAAGTTATTCAGTGTGAGAGCACGAATCCAAGTCATAGTCCTTTTAATTTCTAAAGTCCTCCTCCATGTACTTTCTTAACCTGCACTAATCATAAGAACTAACATTAAGTATAATAAAGGAGGTTGGAACAATTACTTTAAAAACAAACTAAATATGGGTTTGAATGATTTTTTCCTCAAATTATTTTTCTAGTCTTGTATTTCATTCTTTGATGATGAATTAAAATGTATTAGTTTTATTAAATATAGAAAGGGACATGTTTTTAAGAGCTAATATATTTTACACTTAATGTAAAATTGAAACTTTTTAATGTGAGTATATTTTCTATTGAGTTTTTTTTTCTTATAATACATGTCTTTACCATAATTTAATATTTATTTTTGAATTTACCTACCAATTATCATTTCTTTTCAGAAATAATGATGATGGTGAAGGGTTAAGTGTGTGTTAGCACAAACTTAACTTAACTGTATTATTATTATTATTATTATTATTATTATTATTATTATTATTATTATTATAAAGAAAAATAAAACTAGATTGATATGTTGAATGGATTTTATCATCAAAATAATATAAAAATTTAAAATAATATGTTTAAAATAGTTTACTAATTATTATAAAAAAAATTAGTTTATAATTTAAAGATATTTTATATGCATGCAATACACACGTCGTAAAAACATGTATCACCCCACGTGATATGATGGGACACCAACATATGCCCAGAATTAAAATGTACCATATCAATGCAGGATGCCACATGGCACGGTCACTGTGGAGTAACATATCAGCATTATGTTCCACATGCATGCTGCATCATCAATGTGCACCATAGTCTAGAAATTGACACGTGGCATAACGCATCCAATGTGTTCCATGAGAAAAAGGCATCACTCATCGTGTCTTAATACGTGGCAAGACAAAAAAAAACTAATTTGATTAAATTTCAAATAAGATTTATTCTTTTAAAATAAATTTTGTAATTTATATTTACATTTTCTTAAAATATTTAATTTTAAGTTAATAATAAATTTAAATCTTTTAAACAAAAACCCCACTCCTCACACAAACGCCAACTTTCACCTCTTCCAACTAGTTCATATTTTGTCTTGATTTTTTCTCTTTTGCATCTTATTTTATTAAAACATTGTGGTCCTCCCTCACATTCTTATTTCTTCTTTTTTTTATATCTTTCTCAAAATTTAAATGTAATCCCCTTTTTTTATATCTTATTTTATTATATTTCTATATTCTAGTTTTGAAAAAAAAAAAAAAAACTAAAGTGACTATTTTTTTGGGGTCAATTTTAGACATCAACACTTGCCAAGTTGCCAAGTGTCTCCTTGCTACAGTTTTAGACATATCTTTGTTGCTGTTTTTCTTTTCAAGCATTTTTATTGTCTTATTTCTTATATTTATGTTTGTCTTCAACCTTTTTAGTAATTTTATAAACACCTAACTACACTAATTAGCTCACCCAATAATTATTAGTTTAAGTATATATTAGTTAGAACTTAAAATTTAAAATTATAGATTAATTAAAGTTCTAAGAGATAGACGTTCTCATTAAAATCATGATTTGACACTTTTCTATCGAAAATCCAAATCACGATCTTTTGCCATTAATATTTTAACTACAGTGTTCTTAGCCTTATAAAATAACATTTTATAGTAAAGAATTTTTTTTTATTAAAGATCAATAACCTTTGAAATGTAGCAAAAGCAGTTCCGTTTATTATTCCTTTTACATAAAAATTATTTTTATTTTAGAAATCTTAATTGCTTCAATTTTATTATTTTGAAAAGTAAAAAGATTATTACTTTTCGAAATATATTATTCTTTAATTATATTTTACTAAAGAAAATAAAAGAGCACTAATAAAGTAAAAAGATAATATTGAATTTTTGTATTAAATTATTAATAATTTAATAAAGGAATCAATATACTATAAAAGTTTATTATTTAAAAAGACTAATACTTTTATAAATTACATTCCCTCTATTCTTTTTTACAAGTGATTTTAAACTAATTCATATAGATTCAAAAAGTCTGTTAAATTAATAAAAAAATTATCTAAACACTTCAAAATTATCCTTACTGACAAAGTAAAGAAAAAAAGTTGGAAGGTGTGCTATATAATATTGGTAATTTGGTTTATAAAAGTGATCGACAACTTTATTGAAAATGATAGACTACATTAAACATAATTTATTAGCGATTAAAAACAAATTTTTAAAAAATACTCAATGCTTTACTAATTTCAAAAGTAAATAGTGTAAAAGAACAGAAAAACAGTTTTAAAATGTGACATCTTAATTATTCTCAAACGAATGGAAAAACTGCCAAAGTTATATTGGATACTACATTTTCTATTCATTCATTAGTTAGTTCTATGTACTTTGATTTTTAAAATCCTAGATGATGATGATGACGATGAATACTCAGTAGTAAAGAGAGAAATTTAATGAATTTCAAGAAGCATAAAAGACTTGCCTTATTTTCTGGGTAAGTAGTACTCCTTGAGCCCAAAGTTTTGGCTTCTGTGACTGAACCTTTTTGACGAGTTGAATAAGCCTTACCACGGAAGTGATGCGGAGGAGGAACCACCGACGAGTGGGTCTCGGGACCTCTATAATCAATCTCATAAATCTCTGAATCCAATGCTTTAGATTCCCCTATAACATTTATAATTAATCATACATAGTATATAGTAAAAACATGCATATATATATAGAGAGAGAGAGAGAGAGAGCGAGATAGATAGAAAGGGAGTGTTTGAATAAAGCTATGCAAACCTTCTGAGAAACTAGGAAGAGCAAGGATGAGAATGAAGAGAAAGAAGCAGATGGTGAAGGTAGACCTATGCTCCATATGTGGCATTCTCAAGTTTTATGATTAAACTATTAGAAGTAAGAGGGTAGGCTTGGGGTCATTTATAAGGAGGAAAAATCAAAGAGTGGTTTTAATGAATTATTAGAAGTGGTGGGGACTTGAGTGGAAGAATCACAGCTAAGGCTCAGAAAGCAAATGTCTCTCATGTGTTTATCTTTTTCAGCTTTATGTTTTGGCAACATGTTGAAATCTTAGCCATTCACACACTCACACAGCAATAAGTTGCATGATGCCGGTGCTGTATTGTTGGTTTGGGACATTAATGCTTCTATATAACATACCCATATTTAACACACACATGTCGAGGTTAATTCTCTTTCATGTTATGCCCTTGTTCATTTGTTCATCTGAGGTTAGATTTTTTATTGGAAAAATTATTAGCAGGTCAAGACTTCTACGTGTTTATAGTTTAGTCAACTATCATGTGATATGTTGCAGAATTTCTATATATTTTTAATTTTCTTTGTTTTAATAAAAAAAATTATCACTTGTCGGCATAATGATATGTGATGATTTAAAATTACTTAATAATTTTTCTTAATGTCGATTTTCTCTTGATGTCAGGCTTATTTAGTATTTTAAAAAATAATGTAAGTCGGATCTTGTTAATTAATGTCGATTGAAAATGTTAAAGTGAAAAAATTATTAATTATATTTTTAATAAAAAACTTTTCTAATTTCTTAATTAGGGTCTTTAAGGTACTAGTTAGTATTTGGGATATACGTTTTTCACATGTGTAGATGAACAAGTATTAATAAAATTTTTGTACTTTTCTAGATGAGAATAAAACTTTCTTATAGTAATTAATTGAAATATTACTAAACTTTTTCATAGTAATTAACTATAAATATAATATTTAAAAAATGAATAACAATTAAATAGATTTAATAAAAAATCTCAAAAAATCTATTTGAAAACGAGGTTTCTAGCTAGAAATATTTGAAATGAAAGTTTTTTTTTTTTCTATCAAACTACACCGAAGGATTAATTTGGGAAAGTGTGTATTAGGAAGAGTTTTGTAATCGAAACATAACTATTAATTGGGTAAGTTTGATTTTGAAAAAGATTTCAGATAAATGTTTTAAATTTCCTAATTTTTAATGAGATTGAATTTAACTCAATTTTAGGATATAAACAAGAACCATGTTCTTATATGCTTAAACTTCCAATCTATAAAACTGGTCTGGGCTTGGTCATTAAATTAGTTAAGGGAAAGGAGATGAAGTATGGTTGAGACAACACCATGTGTGTATGATTGAAGTCTGTCATGAAGAGGGACATGGTGTGTTTGTCTGTGTGTTTGTGTATAAATAAGTGTCACACTTCACATATTTAGACTAAACACTTGTTCACCCAAAAAAAAAAAAGACCTGAACCCTTAAACGTATGTAATATGTATCAAGAAGTTGTCACTTCACCAAACATGTGACTGTCCTTTTTGTACAAGAAGTTAACGTAATTGAAGAAATATTCAACATTGCTTGCGTGTTTTGGTTTCTTTTCTTAAACTAGGAGCATGTTTAAAAATATTTCGATGCTGAGTTCCATCTGGTTTTTGTGTATATATAAGTATAATGTAATCCAGGAAATTATTAATTGAAATCATTGGCTCTTAAATTTTATAACCATATGAGTCAAGTTAGTTTTGACTAATGTCAAAAAGGAGACTTATTGTATGACCAACGGATGAAGTACATAGGTTTAGACAACTTCGGTAGCGACCCTCTACAATTTTAGATGGTTGATTCCATGCAAAACTTCAATATTAATACCTACAGCTAACTATGTGTATGTATACCTTGTAATTCTCATATTTCTGAAAGAACCATATGATAAAGGATTATATGTAACACAAGTGATAGTGGGCCTATTGTATCATAATTAATTGATTATAGAATCTTACTCCAAATTTCTAAAAGATTGGTCTGGGAATAAATAGTGGGCCTATCAATTTCAATATTCAATAATTATATAAGTTCATGGAGTAAATGGCTCCAAATGATGGAAATCTCTGCCACCCTATGAATCTAAAGCTCATGACAAAGTGTTGGTTGAAATACTTATGACAGTGAGACGTAAAATTAATTCAGGCTAAGGATCTGAACTTGGGCTAATTTTTAAATTAGATAGTTATATGATCACATTAGAAAAACCATATACATTCATCTCTAAATCTGAATCTTTTAAACATAATGTAATGATCAATATTGATTATTTTTATTTCTCATAATAATCTCTATATAACAGATTTAAATAAAGTTGAATGGTGGTGTTGATGTTACCTGAAATCCACTAGTTAATGATTTAAATGAGGAGATAGGTTTGATGGAATTGGGGCAATATAAACAACTACTTCATAGCTGGACTGGGGGCATGCCTGTTGGCTGTTGCCTGCACTACCCAGGAAACCTCATCACATGCTTTTCAAATTTTAATTAAGGATTTGACTTGACGACTAAGTACGGATTTGCTTAAGCAATTTTGGAAAAATAATTGTTTTTTTATTTTATTTTTATAGTATGAAGGAACTAGTTCTTTCAATTTATGTCTATGTGCAATACTTATATCTGAAGCTTTACAAAATGAAAAGTATATATGCACCACTTAAATTAGTTATCCATTAGTCTTTATATATTTTACATTTTGTTAAAAATTTAAATCATTAAATGCAACTAAAAATTGTATTTAAGTTAATTTTAATTATATATTTTACATGTCATACAACTACAAAATTGATTTTATAATTCATCCTATGGATAAATAATCTTATTTGTTCAATCAAATGATAAAATTGCTATATAGAAATCCAATAGAAGCATACTTTATATAAACTTAAATAAAAAAGTGCTTTTACTTGTCAATTTCATTGCATTATTGTTTAAACTAAATAAATTAGTGTCACATGCTATTAATCCATAAGTTTGTACCCCCTAACATTTTTGTGTCTTACGTCATATTAACTTCATTTACATAAATAGATAGATTTGGAATTAGAGTCCTTTCATTCATTATTTTTTCTTTATTTAAATATTTTAACTATTTCATGTAAATTTTTTAAAATTGCATATTATTATTATCATCAGAATGAGAGAGGGAGAAAGTTAAATTTAAATAATGTCATCTTCAAAACATGATTAATTATTTTATTTTCGATCATCTTTGATAAATTTAAAATTTTAATTGTGAAATTTAATAAATACTAAATATTTAATAATTTAGACTTTGTTTAGGAGTTTGAAAAGAAAAGAAAAATTTTGAAAAGTGAAAAGTAAGAGAAAAAGAAGAAGAAGAAAGGAGTTATCAGAAAACTTTTAAATTTGAGAAACTTAAATATATGAAATTAAAATAGTTTATAAATTATTTTTTATTTAAAAATTATCTTCAAATATTACATGAGTATTCTCCTTCTCTTCTCTTTCTAAAAATTAACTTTCAAACAATTTTTAAGTAGAAAAAAGGATAGTAATATAAAATCTGAATAACATAACAAAGCTCTTTATTTTAAGGTAACTAAATTATGGAGATAAGAATGAAAACCTTCCCAACCTTTTCTTTTTAGACCAGAAATCAATGTAAGGGGAACCAGCAAATTACATGGTATTTGCTTTCAAAAATTCAATGGTCCCTTTAACGAACTATAACCAATTTGATTCTTTGAATGAGACTACCAATGAATGGACATAAATTGCACTCTTTACACTTCATTCTACTTTAGATTAACAAGTGAAATTTTAATAATTCAATGCAACTTACTAAGATTGTGTTTGTTTACATTTTTTAAAATATAAAAAAACATGCTCTAATTCTTGCACACGAATATAATATTATATGATACTAAAATAATTTTACTAGTAGACGAGTTTGTGATAAAATGGACAGACACTCCTTAGCACACAATTATCTTGCACATCGATCGTGATTCATTTTAGGATTAGATTAATGAGTTATTCACAACATTAATTGAAGAGGATTTGATTTCATTTTATTAAAAAAATTTCAGTGTGCTTAAAGATAAATATTTTTCTAATTTTATACAATTTATTAATATTTACAAAGTATAAAAAAAATATTAATTAAAATGTAGAAAAACACGAAACTAATGTAATTAGACAAATTAATAATTTTTTTTTTAATAAAAAGCATATTCAAAAGTATGTTGAAAATAGTATCATTTCTCAAAAGTAATAAGGCAAAGCAAAGTGATTTGGTACCTGATCCATACTGGACGTTGGCCTATGTGTTTCTTATCCTGTTTGGATTGGCAGAGGCCACGTAATTTTTTAAATTTTTATAAAAAAATTGCTAATAATAATTTTAATATTTAAATTTTTTATTATTTAATTTTTGAAACTATATGCTTTGAAGAAAAGCGTTATAAGGTCATAGAAGTGGCGATGACAACAACTTTGTCATAGATGGAAAAAAAATGTTAACTGAAATTGTATTGCATATATGACATTATTCTTGTCTATATGTTAATTAGCATTTTGTCACTGACAATATTTAGATCTCGAGACTAATAATAAATTTAAATTTATAAAGTTAATGTTTTAAATAAAAAAAAATTGAATTATGAGGCCACACACCTTGTACCTTGTTCTCGAGTAAGAAAATTGCAAACCAAGCCTTAAGAAAATAAATAAGAAATTACCAATATCAATATTATTAATTTATTTTATCATCATCAGCTCTAAACCCTGAAGCGTGCACAGCTACACATTTGATTTATATTTTAATGGCTTAAACGCACTTCATGTTGATGACAGAATTAAAATAAAAATAATATAAGCACATTCAGGTCCTCACGAATCTTATTTCAACTATGATGCGATTCAACTATAAAAGATAATATACTAAATAAACTCTCCACTGCCAAGTTTTCTAGCAGGAACAAAGTTGGTAAATGAGAGTATCCAAAGATGCCTAACAAACGAAAACCGACATAAGGAAATGAAATTGCACCCCAACACAAGAAAAACAAAGCACAAAAGCAAAATCAGAAGCAAGTAAAGTGAAAAAGCAGAGAAAAACAGCACTCTAAACTTGAGAACCAACAAGGCTTTTATTTTTATTAACCCATCATCCTTGAGAACTGAAGGAGTGAGTGAGTACTTTAACTCGAAGACAAGTTTCCGTGTTTCTCTTGTGTAGTTCCGAGGAACCTTTTCATATTACATAGAGCCATAGAGATTCTCTCTTACAGCTCCATAAAGGAGAAAATATATCATGACAAATAAAAATAAAAATAAAAACTTTTTTTATAACTATATCAAACTCAGTAATAATCAAAATAAGGTGATAAACTAAAAATAGAAAGAAAGAAAATTTTTAACAGAACAAGTAACTGAGATAAGATTAGAATAATCACAAACCATGTGGAAACCAAGCATCAGCAAAACCCAACCTTGTCTTCTTCCAAAAATTATTCACCTCAGGATCAAGTTTCTTTGCGATTCTCGCCGGTTCAGATTTGCACCTCGTGAGCACAAGAGGACGAACAGTGTCTTCCCCTGCTTCTTCCCTTCTCTTCAGAACCTTTTCCGATTCCATTATTCTTTCCCTCAATGAATCCTCGAGCTCTTTGAAAAACCGCAACTTCAGCTCCAACTTCGGGCTTTTCTGCGAACTGGGTCTCTCGTTCTCAGATGCTTCTCTGCTTTCAACCCCTGTTTCTTCACTCCAAAACCTACTCGCCAGAGACGAAGAACTGTACGGTGCGGATCTGCACCTCGTCAATAACAAAGCGTTCCTCGGTGGCGTAGAACAAGAGTTAGAAACAAAAGCACTGTTTATAACTCTTTCTTCATGTTCTGATTCTTCTTCCCCTGACTCATCGTAAGAGCTTCCCCTGAAATTCAACTCTGTTTTCGGTGAAGCTTCAGTGAATTTTGAAACCTTTTTTTTCCTTCTTAAGAACCCCCAATTGGGCCAAACGGGTTGGCACTGCCAGTGAAAGCAAGAACCGGGTTTTATTAAACGGTGAAAAAACAGAGCATTTGGGACCCACTTGCAACAACGGCGTTTGGTGGGAGCTCCGGCGTCTGCGCCGGCGACGGAGCGTCCTTTTCTGACGGAGGAGTGTTTGGAAGAGCGTTTAACTCGAACTTGGCCCATGCAAGTGACTTTGGGGGAAGAGGGTTCTTGGGTTTCAATGGCGGTGTTCTTTTTGCGAAGGAACATGGTGGTGGACCTTGACCTTCCTCTGCTTCTGCTCCCTGCATTGTTTCTGAGGAATCTCATCAATGGTGGTGGGAACTTGTCGGTTCGACCCGGACTCGAAATGGGTCTCGTGGATAGCTTCATGTCACTATTCCTTTCTTCACTCTTCACCCTACACACTCTGCTCCGTTTCTTACAATGGTTGCTCTCTTGTTTCTCTGTGTTTGTGGTCTTGGTGGAGAAAGAGGCTAGGAACATATATTAATAATTATATCTTCCACTTTTATATTTTTAGACATGTTTTTTATATTATTTGTTTTCACATAATATATTATATCTTTATCTTGTCATAATTTGTTAAATAAATAAAAGTTATAATATTTAATATTATCAATGAATTAAATTTAAATATATAGTGTTATTTTTAATAAAAATTTCTTATATAAATATTCTTATTATATATATATATATATAATATTAAAAAAAATATTTTCCTCCATTCATGTGAAAATGATTTTCCTATATCTTTTTACTACTTTTTGTGAAATTTGGTACACTTGACTTTTTGGCTATGTCATGCTATTTAGTGAAACGCACTCAAGCTATGTGATGATATGGTCTGACACAGACGGGAAGTTTGTCTTTTTGGGGGGAAAAAAGCTGTTTTTTTTAAATAATATTTATGATATATTGTTTTCACCTAAAATTGATTTTCATCTTATTCCACGGAAGGATGTGTGAAGAAGATTTCATTTTCATATTATTTGGTGGTTTTCATGGCCTACTTCTCTAGATCACTTGTTCCTTATTTCTCATGGATGGTAGCTACTAAGGAATGTAACCTACCTCATAAAAAAACATGTAAAGCGAATAAATTTAATAATATATGAAATTTATATAATTTTACTAAATAATATGGATTTTATTTTTTATTTTACAAGTTTACTTATTATTGAATAAGATTCATGTAAATTTTATGAAATAAAATATTAAAGTGCGTGTAATCTAAATCATTTAATTTTACATAAATATCAAAATAAAATTAAGAAAAATCAAGTTTAGTATAATTGTACTAAAGTTAACCCCAAAAATATGCAATGATGAATGTTAAATTTATGATTTTTACTAACGATTCTGATAAGAATATTTGTTAAGGGTATTAAATATACTATAAAAAAAATATTTTCATTTACCTTAAAAATGTAATAAATAAATTTTACTTTAATGAAGTTTTCTACCTTTTCTGTTTTTTATTTGGCCACCCTTAATTGATTGATTGATTGATTTACCTATTTGTAATATTAAGATAATAATATTGTTTATATTTTAATTATGTCTTATATCTACTTAATTCTTAAATGATTTACATGCTTGTAAACAATGAGAGAAAAATAATAATGGAGAACATATATCAAAAGGTTATAGATAATTTAAACATTACCGATGATTAAATTATATTTCTCAATCTAGTATTATCTTCCGAAATGATATAAAGAAACGAAGAAGTACCGCTTTTGTCTGGTATCATATCATATCAATTTGAGTCTTTTAATTTATTTTAAAATTTTTGTATTTTGAAAATTCTAAAAAATATATTTTTAATAATATATATATATATATATAATGAGCCCAATCTAATTCAATGAACAAGTTACTACGGTGTTAGGGTTAGCAAGGTTGAAGATGCATTTGTAAAAGACATTTTAATTTAACGCAAGTTAGTGTTTGTATAAAAAAAGTTTATTACATACCTCATGGCAATGATGTGTGCCGGTTATGTAAGGCTAAAAATTATTATATTTTTATAAAGAATATAATATTTTTTAAAAATAACAAATATAATTTTGCGTGATATTAAGTGAATAATTTAACATAGAATCTTATTTTGTAATATTCTTTTATAACATTTATAGTAAAATATTAATATTAGAACAATGGAATTGAATTTAAAAAATCATGACTATAAGATATCAAAGTTTTCACATAGATATAGATTAAAAAAATGATATAATAAGTTAATATGGGATGAGAATATTATATAAATAATTAACAATTGTTGATGTGAAATTAGTATAAGGATGATAGAAGGAGAAAATCTGCAGTGATGGTTAAGGAAGTGGAACTTTAGGTGGAGGAGAATCCATAATGAATCCAAATAGTTTGTTGGAGGGAAACACATCACAATGCCACAAGTCTTCAAGAATGAACCAACTCAACCTACCATATGTACACTTCTACTATTTTCACAACTATAGATCACAAGTGAATAATTTCTTGTATAATTTCACGTATATTTAATAATTTAAAATGAAATGCCATATATAACTAGCAAATCATGACCATTGAAGTGGATAGAAAACAATATCAAGTGCAGATGAATTCATTAAAATAAAGGAGTTTGTTTTAGAGAATAATCAGTGGAGTTTTTTTTTAAATTATTTTCTTTATGATCAACGATTGTATAATTTCATGCATATGCCATTTAATTCTATTTTTTTGGTGTAGAAATGAAATTAAAAATAAAAATCATGTGTAAAACCTAAAAGTGTCATTAAACATTAAACAAGAAGGGAGGGTTGGTATCCAGTCACTCAAATGTTCTTTCACCAAATTTCATGATTGATAAAATTATTTAGAAATGATATTTCGTGCCCCACCTTGTTCATCAGTCTCATTTAATTCCAAAATATTCAACTTAACTATTTACTAGTCCGTAGTTGTTTGTGCGACTAGCCAAAGAGAGCAACATTTGCGTGTAATGAATTCCCAAAAACAGTGCTTTTTATTTCAAGTTTGAACTTCCAAACTTGGAAGCTTTTGACTCCTTAATCACAATTAGTTTCCCCATTTTAATTTCTTGCGTTTCAATCTTTTTCTTTTCATTTAACACGCATGCAAAGTGAAAATAGAATTTCAAGTCTTAGTCGTGATTTGATACAGTAAATATCTCTTCAGATCAAAATATATCAATTACCAATCACCAATTTGGGCAAATTGTTGCATGTTTTTCCTCATCCAATCGCCAATCATCAAATATTTTACAAAGTATATTACCATTTTGGTTCATGAGATTCAAAGTATTATTCACTTAAATTCATAATTTTGTAGAAGTTTTACATTAGGTCCTAACTTTATAAAATGTTATAGAGAATTCTTTCATTTTAGTCTTTAGTGCTAAAAACAAAAAACTAGAGCGAAAAAAGACTGATGCTAATATTTTTTTTTATAAAACTTCATAAAGTCGTGACTAAATGAAACTTTTACAAGTGCATAGCACTTACACTCTCGTAGTCCAAAGCTGTAATTTACTCATTTTATATGAAAAAAAGATCGGAAAAAGGATATGAAGAGACAAAAGGGAAGTGAATGGTTGCGGAAATTTGAGCAGTGGTAATGGATAATGCATGCTGTGATTTGTATTGGGATAAGGAAGGGGAAAAAACAACCCTCCGAAAAAGTTAAACCCACCACGATGACTTTACAAGGTTTTCAGATATAGTCAACCACAGATTCCGCTGATGGCGCTTCATTCCAATCCTAACCTTAATGGACTTCCAAGAACAATGCTAATTGGCAAGTCTCAATGCAAGTTGGTGATCACAGGCAGTGTAATCCTACTTTTGAGTGACATGACTCTATAAAGTGGACTGACCCATAATCTCCCAACAAGAGAACCAAAAGTCAAACAAAAGGCTGAAGCATCCCTTTTTTCTTGCTGCCACTTATATAATAGCTTGACTTTTAAACACGAATGGGCCCTAAAATCACTTGGGAATCACTCTCAATTCAGTTTAGTTCAGTTCAGCTCCAAAAAGTACGCGACAAAATTCAAATAATCAGATCTATTACTAAATATAATAATAAAATTCACATGTTCATAGTTGGTAGTACATATAGCACTAACATGGGCTCCGCTCCAAGCTACACATGTATTCTAAAAAAATGAATATGGAACATGTTGATGTTATATGGCACCTATAAAATTATGAACTATCGGTTTCCGAGTACCGAGTTGCTAAATGTTATACTAATACATCTACCAAAATAATCTATACATATAGCACAGAAGGCAAGGAATTAGGTTGAATATGGAAGGAAGTTGCCTAATTACCATTTTATCCAACTGCAGTTAAAATTGTTTATATACCTTGTACAGTACTACAATTGTAAGTCAGCAGAGGTCAGAGTGGTTTCACACGTAACATGAGCAGGATTCGGAATCCATAGGTCTTTTGGCCCCAAGAATTGAATGTTTTAATTCAGAGTCCATGTTGTTGCCCCCATCGTTTGTTCCCTTTAGATCAATGAGAGGCTGAGTTTCATCATCTGAGAAACAAATTACTAGAGTCAGAGAGACAGCTTGCGGAAATCAAGTTTTGTTATGCAAAATGAATTTTTTTAAAAATACAGCTTCAAGGAGGTAAAGCGACAAGGAATTGTCTTGAAATAAAAACGATCAACAATAGAGATAATGAAAATAACACTTGTATAGACACTTTTCCCCACAAACCGAAGATGAACTCATTTTTATCATTCAAAATAAGTTTCAATGGGGCCACCAAAATGTCATCCATAGACAAACATGCAAGTCTATGAGGAGTGTGAGAGCATGAAGCGTGTATCATTATTCTAGAGGTAATTATGCCTGAAACAGTGGATAGCGAGAGCTCAGTGAGATGCTTGACACAGTCCTTTAGTGCCTGGAGTTCAGCTTCCTTCGCATGCAGATTTGATTGAGCCTGGTGCAGTTCAGACTCTAGCTCCAAGATCTGATTTTCTTGCTGTTTTATCAGCAAGTGGCTTAGTTTCTGATGCAATTCAGATGCTGACACTCCATGAGATTCAGAATAATTTAAATTCCAGTCATCTGTTCCATGAGAGCCTTCGTTTGGAGCTTCAAGCTGCACAGAATTTATTGATCAAACCCAAATGAAATCAAAAGGCAAAAGGTTACTCAACCAAGTAAAATTGGATATGGAAAAATGTGGACTACAAGAGCTAGTGGTTACTCCCCCAAGCTGCGGTCAAAAGTGACCAAGGATTAACAAGATTTAGGCAGTCAAAAAGCATGTTTCTCCAATGAAATATAAAGAGAAGATTCATGAAATACTGTATTATCAACACACACATGCGCACAAAGGACGGCAACACATAGATTGATTAAATTATCTCTGGAAAAAGAACATTTTACATGCTATGAGTTTAGATTGCTTTCTCTAGTAAACCATAAGTGGACTGCCCACAGCCACACGCTGGAAACAAGAGAAATGGGAGCAATAATACAACTTGAATGGCTAATTAAACAGATAACTCAAGAAGAGGAGTTCAGAGCAAAAAATTGGACATGCTGGAAATTAGAAAAATGAGAGCAGTCATGCAATTTGAATGATCAATTAAACATGGAGCAAAGAAGTACTGTCCACGCTGGAAACAAAAGAAATGAGAACAACCACACAATTAGAATGGTTAAACGGATTACTCAAAAAGAAAATCCATCAAAGCCTGGGTGATCAAAAAGAAAGAGGGAAAAAAGAAAAAGAAAAACTGCATTGTATCTGCATCCCGCAGACTGCATAGATGCCAAATTTAATATTATGATTATGAGTGTGACACACAAAAGAAAGAATGCTCCCAAGAAATTCACCTCATCTAATTTTGGCTTTAGTTCTTCATGGTAAGGGCTGTCAACAGTACACCCGGAAAGCTTTTGGAGTTCAAACTCAAGTTCTGCTTCCAGTTGATCCATTTCCAGAACCCCTGGTTCTGGTTCTTCTGTAAGAGCACTACTTCCACATTCACCAGAGTCATTTACACCAGGACTCCAAATTCTGACATCAGTGTCTCTGAGCTTGCTGTTTGTCTTGTTGAGCATCACTTCATGCCTGCTACTTATTTTGCAAGAGTTCGTGTCAACATTGCCAACAGAATCCAAATTCTGAAGAGCAGGCAATGATTTCCTTCTGTTGAGCTCAGATTTTAGTTCCCGAACAAGTTTAATAGTCTCATCCATGGTCCTTTTCACCTTATTGATCTCAGCTTTTCCAGCTGACATCATATACATGATGCCAAAGCACAGTCCCCAACCAATTGAGAAGTTATCTGAAGGATACAATGCAAAGCCATATTCACTTTTCGCAGGTTGAGAACAACGCGATTTCATATTTTAAAAGAAAAAGACCTTACTGCAAACAACATAGCCAAAAGAACAGAGCATCATGGCTGACAAACAAGCCAAATTAAAAACGAAATATGAAGAGATTATGCAGTGAAATTCCCAATAAAATTTTCATCTTTTATATTCCATCAATCATGCCATAAAATATTTTTGCTATCAAGCTCACCACCCATTTGAATTTTCTCACACAAAATTTCCCTTATTGGGTTCAATTATAAACCATAAACATTATAACCTAAGATTCATAAACAGAACTAAGAATTAGGAAAACACTAATCTAAATTCTAACCTTTGGAAGAACAAAGCGGAACCTTTGCAGCAAAATGCCTGTTAGTTTTCCTCTTCTTCAAACAAAAGTGCAATCTCCTTCCACTCTTCCTCTGCCCTGATCGCACCTCTGCATCCTCAACCTTAGGAACCCTAACTCCGTTCTTGGAGGCCCAGCGTCGCTTACTCTTGGGCCGCGATGGAGGCCCATCATGTGTCAGAGACTGCGGACTGGAAAACGTGAAGACCCCATCACGATCGTGCGTCTGAGAATCGCTTCCCAACCGAGATTCATAAAACGCAAAAGCATTCGTGTCGGCAAGATCGGCGTTCTCAACGTTGTCGTTTTTTCTGGGGTTGAGGAAGTGCTTGGTGGCTAAACCGGTGGATCCGGCCACTGCAAGAGCTAAGAAAAGTTGCCACATTGAGAAAACGAAATTGAAATGCGAGCGCGTGAAATTTCAAGTGAGAGTGAGAGCGTCACTGTCACAGTCACACACCTAACAGAGCGTGTTGTTTCAGTTGTAACAAAGTCGAAGACAAGATCGGCGAAGGAGGAGAAAGAAAGAGTGGACATTTTATATCGTTTTACAAACTTTGGGGTCACGTGCTTCCCGCTTCTTTCCATATCATATCATCATTGATCCCATCATTAGAATATTAAATTAGTCTTAAACATTATGATTACGCATTAATTTATTTCTAAAATTATATAAAAATACTGTTTTGATTTTTAAAATTATAAAACTTCAACTATTTTAGTCTATTTTTTACAATTTTGAATAGTCAACTAACTGTCAGTTAATAATGTTAAAGATTCAGATGTATGTATTTATAGTTTAAGATTAAATTAATTGGTATTTATAATTTTAAAAATTGATTTTATTTATTATTGTTGATCCAGTGATCTTCCTTCACTCAAATAATCATTTTTTTTTCAAATTAATTAAGCGTTTTTGGGGTAGTTTTTAGAGAATGATAATGATGATTAAAAAACAAATTAAGAAATATATAAAATTATAAAAATATTAATATTGTATTTATATATAATTGAAAATGTTTAGTAAAATATCTATATATTTAATGTTTACCCTTTTTAAATTATACGATTATTTTTAATTAGAACACTCATTAATAACATTTTATATTTTTCTTTAATTACAATCATGTATTTAGGTGAATACCTCTTTTTTTATCCCTTGAGTGTCACGTGACAAAATATCTGAAGCCAAAGACACTGGTTATTACTAACTGCATCAGTAGTATACATGTTATAGTGGTGGCTGTGTTAAGATTCTCCTTCCATAAAAAAATGTGCTAATTACGTGTTAAGACTGTATTTCTCAAGATAAATAAGCTAATTTTTAACTTATTTACTTCTCTTAAAAGCTTGTTCGACCGATTAAATTCATTTGTTAAATGAACTTATTTTAATAATTTATTGTATTTTTGTAGCATTTTAGAAAACATTACTTTATATAGCGTTGGATTTTATAAATTGCTAACTCAGTTTTTTATTATTTTTATCCTCACTGTCTTATTATAATTCCTTTGTTGTCATTTAGTTTCACGAATCCTTAGACACATGCTTCTCTATTATATTCTTTTAATTTTTTATGATACAAAATTATAATATAATTTTATTTATATTGTCTTATTTTATTTAATAAAATTATTTTAAAATAAAAAATTTATAATTTTAAAGATGATAAATTATTTAAAATAAATTAAAATATAAAAAGTAATTGTTATTTGAAAATATATATGGTTTTCCAAATTTCAACTTAAAGCCAATTAATTAAATATATTTAAAAATTTCAAGTTAAAATCATGTTTAAATTGATAAATGATACAATAACAAAGTTACAACAAACTAAAATCACACATGAATAACAAAATGTCTAAATTATAAGTCATATAAGATTACATTTATACAAGTTTATAAAATAAAAAACTAACAAGTTCACAAGGTGAAATATTGTAAATTCGATGAGGTTAGATGGATGAAGCAACAAGATGCTCCGCGACTTCATATAAAAGTAATTCACAGGAAAGACCGTGATAGCCAAAAGCTTCAACTATCGATGCAAATTTAACCAAGCAAAAAAGAATAATCGTCCAAAAGGAAACGCAAATGGAACACTCAATATTAAGCCCAGAAAAACTTTTAAAAGTTTGCACAATACTTTCAAGGGTATAACAAAAAATTTAAATTTATAAATAATCTTCACAATCCCTTAGTTGTTTTTGTATAAATCAATGTATCTTCGTCTAAAACACATGTAAGAGAAAACAAGATAAAATATTCATTTGTCTATATCTATAGCATCAGCTAATCACTCTATTGTTACATCAGTTCTATTTCATAAGCATCATAGGCCTAAAATATCAGTTTGCTCTGCTGCTCTGTTCATAGATATCATTTGTACTGACCCAGCTGGCTTCTTAAGTAGAATGCTCCAAAGAAGAAAGCTATTATAAAATACTGCAATAAATATTAAATACTTGTGAAACAAAGCCTAGAAGAACTCGGAGCAATCTGCCTGGAAAATAGAAAAAGGGCAAGGTCAATTAAAACAAATACACCAAAGGTTATTTATACCTTATAATTGCAATAACTTTGAATATTTCTGTTGCAGAAACTAGAAACTCAATTATGGAGAATGTTGAATAAAAAGACATGACTCACAGTGTCTTCAAATGAACATGTTAATGAAAATAATAGTTGAGGAAACAAACCCCAAAGAACGCTGTCCTGGCAAGTTATCACCCGAAACAGATATAATTTTGTGTCCTATATCTATTGCTGCTGCCAGGACAGGACACAACAGTTACACATAGACCTACAAGTAAAACGGCTGACACTAGGTAGGGATAACATGCCAGCTGCAAGGAGCAAGACAGCCTTTATTGATGGAATTCTTAGGTTGTTCCAAGCAGTTTGTCAAGACATAAACTTCCTGTTTTTCTTCCTAAAATTTACTTCATATGTAAGTAGTTACCCTTTAAAATTCCATTTACTGTTCACCTATTCTGTTCCAGCTTTTTGAACTAAATCTCTGCTAAGTTCAATATGAGATCAATAATCCCTACATAAAATAGCAGGACCCAGTGACATGCCATCATTTACAGCCATCCTAATTGAACTACCCATGTCTGCATTTGAATAAGCATTGCATCTCATAAACCAACCAATCATGGAACAACAAACAAATACTTTACCACATACTGATTATACAGATCATTAGCATCCCTTTCCCCACTCAGCACCATAAATGGACAAAATAGTATCTCAATTTCAGATTACTAATTTTACTTTCATAATCAGAAACAACATGGTCAATCCAGATAGCACAGTTCAGCCACCGTACCTACTACTTCCAGTTTTTCAGACAGATAAATAAATTGAGAGTTTCATAGGTCTCTGCAAGTGTGTAAGTTACACTAATTCTTTTCATGTTTTCTCCCAAAAAATAAAAAAGAGGGATTAAAACAAAATTCATGTAGTTCTCTCCAGAAATTCTCGGGAAAGAAGTCATATAAATGGAATATCTCATAAATATTTCATAATCCTGCAACAATTTATTCCCGACAAAACTTGACCTCTACAAAGCCAGTACAAAATGAGAAAGTGGAAGAATTCAGAAATGTAGATATACTCTTTGCGAGTAGATTAACATTTCATTTTGTAGGGACAAGGAGAGCACTAAAATACAGATAAGCGTTGCCCTAAAATCAATAATCTTATGCTGTCTTAAAAAATTAATAAGCAGTTTAATTACCCAGATGAAAATAGAACAAAAGAAGTAGACTTAAGACCAAAATATTATAATATAAAAGCAAATCTGCCTTTTTTATTAGCATAAAACTAAGCACACTGAAGATATTCATTGAATATTAAGTGCAGTCAGAGTGACAGCTTCACCATGTTTTTATACATGAATACGAGAAAAACGGTTTGAAGGAACAATTTAACGTTGAACAAAAAATAACTATTATAAAGAACCTAAATATACCTCCCCTTACCCCTCACCCTTCTTTTCTTCAGGGTGTAACACTAGCCTAAGCTGAAAAACAATTGTATGCATCCCACATCAAGATTCCAAACCCTGAAAGATGTACCTCTCTGTTCAGCATTTAAGTTTGATCAGCAACCTATAGTAAATAAGAGGACAGGCTGCTGACTTTATTAGAAAATAGGACAGTGCATTTGGATCATGATTTGTCAGAACAGATTGTGGAGCAGGGCCAAAAAGAGTAGAAAAAAATACAGTAAAATATTAGCTGTAATGTATATCACTCTTTTCCCTGAATCTGAATCAAATGTGATTGTAGAATCCAGAGAAATGTAGTGCAGAAATGTCAAATGTATACCTCACGGTTCTAGGAAATTTGAGAGTCCTGGCTCTACTTCCCAATCCCTACACCAAGCCTAAAAGTTATCCTCTGTTATTTCCCTCTCATTCTTTATATACATTGTCTACTGTTCTAGCTAACTAACTAACTGTTGAATCAAGGAAGCACAGACACTTTAAAATAGTAACCATACCATACCAGCACTTCACTGACATTTTGAGTATTACTAACTGCATTTTACAATTTTTTACTTTGATTTTTAAAACTTTTATATCAATACAGATGAGAATAACACAATACTTAGATAAATTATAGCATTCCATTATCTCTACAATTACTTTTGCTCGCTTTTAAGACACCAATTCCCTCTGATCTAAAAATTATTTTTTTTTTCATGTTAATTGTATATGTTGTACTATAGCCTTTGTGTCCTATATAATTTTAAAAATATTTTGTATCCTTGTTTCCATATCATGTTTGTATTGTGTCAGCCTCACTTGTGTCATATCCATGATGTCTAGCTATTGATAAAGTTGTCACCACGGATGTTATCGAGTTCATTCTCTGACTAACAAATTGCTGATGCTTGGACCAAATATGTAACAAAAGATTATGGAGAACCATCACTTGGATTCCTATCTTATGCCATGAAATTTACCCCACCCTTTGTAAGAATGCCATTACAAGTATTCAAAGAACTTCATATCACAAATATAAATAACAAAACAAGCTCAGAAAATATCATCAGCGGAGTGAGTTTCAACAAGGAGCACAACCTAGTAAACAAGTTGTCAGGGTCACAATACTAATGTTAAGAATGACTATAACCAAATAACATTGGGCTTCAGTTCACAAGATTTGCAGGCTTCATTTTGACACGTTTCATGAGTTAATCTATTATTTACATCTGCAGATCATGTTACACTTGACCAACAAGAAACACATCAACTCATGCCAAAACCAGCCACTTAGACAAACTAAAGCAAGCATAACGGCAACCACTTCCTCTACCATATAAGATAACTAAAACTAACCATAATTAAAATAAACACAACATTCACAACAAGATCAATAAATCCATCAAAACACAATAATTTCCTTATACTCACATCACCCAGTAATAATAATAATAATAAAACAACTCTATTACCTACTTGTAAATGAAGTCATCACCAATTGCATTAACCATTTAAAACCAAATTCTGATACAACACAGAATAAAACAAAAATAAAAAGCATACCGACGAATCAAATCATCAATCGGACTTAGAATCAGAGGCCAAGTTCCGTCTTTGAGCCCTAGCCATCTCATACTCAAACTGCAACACGTTACGAATATGCGAAGTGTCCTTCACATAGAACCGCCGTCCAAACGCACTCTCTTCAATAGCAGGGAAATAACGGTACAAAACGGCGTTAACAACCCAAAACCAAACAGCCCCAAGAAAGGTTCCCAGAGCAGTTCCGGCAAACACCTGAGCAACGGTATGATATCCCAAATAGACACGAGAATACATAGTCAAAAAGGCAAGAGACCAAGTAACGAGGTGGAGAACAAGGTTGTTACGCATGTCCCAGAATCCAAAACCCTTGGAAGACAAAAGGGTCAAGTAAGTGGCGAAGAAGAACATATATTGACAGTGGCTAGAGGGCCAACCGTGAGAATCGCACATTTCGAGGAGAGCGCAGGTTTCGGGTCGGGCTTGCTGAACGGAGGTTTTGATGAGTTCGTTGATGAACTGAGAGATGATGAGGCCGAAGGCGAAGAACATTCCTTGGAGCTCGCGGCGGAAGATGAAGTGGGAGACGAAGCCACCAAGGCTGATGAAGACGGGGACGAGGGAGACCCATGCGAGGAAGTGTCCTATGCGGTCGCCTCTCTGGTAACGGACATGGGTCAGCGTCACGGCCTTCAGCGGCGTCGACGTCGTCATCGCGGCGATCAGAAGGAAGATCTGAGATGGACGAACAGTGGAGAGAGTGAGACCTCAAAAGTGGAAAGGGGAAGGTTTTATGATATGTTAACATCAGCCACTTGAGGCATTAGTTTTGTTTTATTTTTAATTTCCTCCAAAATATTGGATAAATTTCTTATCACTTGTTTTTGAATATTTGAGTAACGGAAATTAGGTAACAATGAATCATGAAAATATATTTTCCAAAAAGTTAATTGGGTAGGATGGTATGAAGATAGAAGAAAATAATAATAAAATTTGAACAAAAAATGAAAGGGAGAAAAATTTTTAATTTTTAAAAATATCATTTTCTTTCTCTTTTTTTATTTTATATTCAACCAATATAAAAATGCATGGTCATCTGAATTTTCCTTTTCCTTTTTCTTAACCAAACAAAACATAAATGTGATAATGAAATAAAAATCAAAATATAATATTTTTTTAATGGTACATACTAAAAAATAATAATAAAGTTATTAAAATTTAATATTTTTAATACATTGTATTTAGATTTTTTAATAAAACTTACTATGTTTGGTGTTATGGAGCAATCTAAGATGGCTTAAAACATATCACCAACCATCTTTGAAACACTAGCAATCCAATATCAATAATATGCCAAATACTTGAGTTGAGGTCTATTACAATATAATTACTTACACACCCAACATTTATGTAAAAAATTATGGTCAAGAGGACACATATATAACCCCTAGAACAATAGAAGTCTAAAATCTTTTACAATTAAGTCATGTTGGAGCTTATCATGCACTTTCAATGCAAATGAGTTTTATTAATAATATATAGATTTTTATTATGTGACTTTTAGTCATTAAAAAAATAAAATGAAGATGCTTGATTTTTAAGTTTTCATACTAAAAAATTGATTTAAATGAAGTGATGAATAATTATAATTTGTTCAATCTTCAAAAGTCTCAGCCTAGCCACTTTTAAGTACAAATATGTCATGCTTGGTGTTTGAGTCAATGAATTCTTATATTCACGAATGAATACTTAAGTTACAATCAAAAGTTCTTAATAAATAAGATTTACTTTTATTGCTATAGTGCCCTAAGTATTTAAGGATGACTAATAATGTGATTCAACTAAAATAATGCAGATCGCATGCCAATAAGAGATAAATACTATCTTCTGTGAACTAATTAGTTAGAGCATATAAGTATACATTAAAGATGCATTAACGAAATCTAAGGATTTTGTTTAGCACTTAAAAAACATAGAGCAAGCTTTCATCAAGATGAGATTCTACAACCTAAAGATGAATTTAATTCTATAAGTAAAAAGATGTTTGTTTTATATGATAAAAAATGAACTAGTGAATTAAATTTATAAACTGTTTAAAATATTATAATATATTTTTAAAAAATATTATTTTGAGAATAAAACCATGAATAAAAAATTAAATGTTTTTTCTTTATTTATTCGATCGTTAAGCTATGTAAGATTCAACAGATAAGATGTTTTTAAGTATACAATTTTAAATTAATATTTATTTTAATAAATTTTATATAATAATCTATATTATAAATTTAACATAAAAATTATTAGAATAAATTAAAAAATTATAGAAATAATAAGTTAATTTCGCAAAGCTGTCTAAAGAATTTCGGGGCCTAAATCGATGTTTATGCTGTGAGTTATTAATGTGTCAAACTAAAAGCTCTGTGGCCGCTGCGTCACTGACGAAACGCCACAAAGCTCTGCCGGTGAAGTTCTCTACAATGGCCGATTCTAGTAACAGAAGAGATCCTATTAAGTCCTCAGGTACGCTTTTATCCATCACTAACACTTCATTTCATGCCAATTAGAATAAAACAAAGAAAATGTGAAGTATCTTAAAACACCGTTTTGATTCCTAACAATAAACCTAATCTTTGCTTCTGCGAGATTCAACCGCGTGTTTTTGTTTCAGTTGGAAATGCTGCGGCTACTAGGAGGCGGCAGCATGCCGTCACAGTTGCGAAAGAAAGGAGAGAATCGCTGATGCGCGCCAAGAGACTTTGTAGGGTTGGAATTGGTGGTGCTGATGGCGACGGCGAAGTTTCTCTTGACAGTGACATGTGGATTGGGGAAGAGCAATCCGTTTTGGAGTCTCAAACTTCCTTGGCGGTGGAAAATTTGAAATCTGCGCTGGCTTTTCAGTAAGCTCTTCTGAACTTCTTGCGTTTATTTGTATGTATAAAAAATGAATAATTATGAATGTTTGTTTCATGTTGTATGTATTGTAATCATGTGAAGAATTGTTTAATTGAAATTATATAGTTGACATCAATTTGTATTTTTCAGCCATGTTTAGCATATGATTACCGGATTGTTTTGTTAGACTGAGGAGAAGTAAAACCCAGTGTTATAAATTGTCTAATCGAGGTGGGAAACCTTAGATGCAGGACCTACCAACAGAGAAGCTTATCCACTCATTCTGTGTTGTATTGTTTTATTTTCTTATTAAATAAGATTGGTTCTTTCTTAAATCTTTACTATTTTCTTGGCTGTACTTCTTATACAAACTGGAAAAAGCTTCAATTGTGCCAACTGCAAGTTTTCATGTTTGTCAACTTTTGCTTTAGTGTTATATATTTTTAATTGATAGGGGCAAGGGTGCAGTGCAGAAGAGAGTGGGCGCCCTTCAAGAATTAAGGCGTTTGCTATCAAGATCTGAATTTCCTCCGGTTGAGTCTGCTCTCAAAGCTGGAGCTGTAGCCATGCTTGTGCAATGTCTTTCATTTGGTTCCCCAGATGAACAGGTCTAAAGTTTCATCTTCATTTGAATGATATTCAATTACTTCTATATGTGTCTTGTACTCACAAGAGGCTTGAGGAATTGTTTCTCTGTACATGTTATGCTGATCATGTGGAATCACCAGTGGGAAAATTGTTTCTTAATACTTATATTTTGTGGTGATGTCTTCTGCAGTTGCTTGAGGCAGCTTGGTGTCTCACAAATATTGCTGCTGGGGATCCAGAAGAAACAAAAGCTTTGTTGCCTGCATTGCCTTTGCTTATTGCTCATCTTGGGGGTGAGTGATCACTTTGAGATTCCTTTTGCATGTCAAGAAATGAATAAATCCTTTTTATTTATGTTTGTATACAAAGATTAATAGGAATTCTTATAGTCTAAATTGTTAATGTATTGTAAGATATTTATTATCCAAAGGAAGAAATGGGATGGGAGGAACTTAGACCTACTGGCACATCATGCTTTTTCTTAAATGTCCACCTTTCATTCACAAGACTTTGGCAACTGTATTCTGCATTTATAACAAATTTGTTTTTGATGGTTGAGACTATTTTAATAATTTTAGTATTTACAATTGCCTTTTAAATTCATGAAAGATTCTGTCTTGCAGAAAAAAGCTCCCCACCTGTTGCGGAACAGTGTGCTTGGGCACTAGGAAATGTGGCCGGTGAAGGTGAAGAGTTGAGAAATATTCTACTTATTCAAGGGGCCTTACTACCTCTTGCAAGAATGATGCTACCAAACAGAGGTTCAACTGTTAGAACCGCTGCCTGGGCTTTGTCTAACCTAATCAAGGTTTCAGATACATCAATTGAATAAGTTGCATGTTGCACAATGTTTGTTTCAGTGATTGACTTTTTTAATCAATTCTTTAACTATTGCTGTTGTTCTACTCTATCTGTATAACTGTATTTCTGAGATGTGGTGCGTTGTCATCTGCCTTTTGTGATTGCTTGTGCATTATGGTTTTTGTGGAAGATGGAATATTCTGTTTACATTTGTTTTTATTTGTGAATTTTGCATGTTTTGCAGTGACATGAGTTCCTTTCCTAAAATTTAACATGACTTCAGTATGTTTCATGTAGGGCCCAGATCCTAAAGCTGCTACAGAACTCATTCGTGTTGAAGGAGTATTGGATGCAATCATTCGACACTTGAAGAGAGCGTGAGTGTTACTCTAGAATTACTTGTAGTATATCTTGGTCAAGATGTTTTAATGCTGCTTCAGACTCTGATGGCTTTCTAACATACATGCTTAATATCTGTATGCTTATTTTACTGTGCATTGATGACTCATACTTTTTGTTGTTTAAATTGCTATGACAATAATATTTTTCATACTTTTCTGTCCCCCCCCCCCCCCCCTTTTTTTTCCTTTTGTAGAAAAAGTGAAGTTAGTATCATTTAAAGATTAAGTGCACAAACATATCAGTTGCACATGATAAACATAATCATATTTTTGCACCATACTAATCTGGTAATTATGTAGAAGCTTGATGTGCTTATCTCACTTATGATTACAAGGATGTTAGAAATGTGACTTTCCTTTCCTTTTCTTTTTGGATGTACAACTTGGTGATACTGATATATATTTAGAACAAGTAATAGACAACAATCTGAATTAAACATCAGTGGTGACTTTGGAACTTGTTTCTCAATGAAGAATTTTGCCATTTCTTTTCCTCCATTAAACTATATTCTATTGATGTTAACAAGATTTTCTTTATAATTTTTAATTTATTTGGATGAAGTCCCTGAAATTTCTATGCCTATAACTAGTATCATCATAAACTTCACTTACCTATAGGCTTGTAAGCTTAAAATTGAAAGTGATGATGGTACAAATCCTCTTTTAGTACTATGACAATGTGTCAAAGTTATTTCCTTTAAGTGTTACAGAAAATAACCAGCTCTTTTACTCATTGAATGTATACCCCTGAAAGGCTATCCTAATTGTTGTCATATTAATTATTTTTTTCGCCTCAGGGATGATGAATTAGCCACAGAAGTAGCATGGGTAGTTGTTTATCTATCAGCACTTTCAAATGTAGCTACTGGCATACTGGGGAAGAGTGACATACTTGAATTGCTTGTAAATAGATTAGCAACATCAAACAGTTTGCAATTACTGATTCCGGTAATGATGTCCAGAACTTTTATGTTTTTTGTTCATTTGTTACAAAAATGTACTCTACATCTGTAAAATTTTCTTGTGATTGGCATATATCAATACACACAAGTGACAGTGCTTATGCTATTCACATTTATCTGTTTTTTCTAATAACAAAGGGATATCCATCTAGGTTTTGCGAAGTTTAGGCAATCTCATTGCTGGGGATTCCCATGCAACTTATGTTATTCTCATACCTGGACGTGAAATTACAGGCTAGTAAATCTTCCTTCATTTGCTAAGCTAAATACATGCATCTTGATTGAACCTCGTGGATTGATTCCTTATATGAGTTATATCTGATTATATAATGAATTTTTTTTCAGATAATGCCACAGGAGTCCTGGTAAAATGTCTAAATAGTGAAAACAGAGTCTTAAAAAAGGTATAAAATATTATTTTGTATTCTATGATCTAACTTTGGATCAATCAAGATGAGCTTTGTTATATATGCAGGAAGCAGCGTGGGTGCTGTCTAATATAGCTGCTGGTTCTATTGAGCATAAGCAGTTAATATATTCAAGTGAGGCAGTGCCTTTTCTATTGCACCTTCTTTCTGATGCTCCCTTTGATATAAGAAAGGAAGTGGCTTATGTATTGGGTAACCTTTGTGTTGCTCCAACTAAAGGTGACGACAAGCCAAGTCTGATCTTGGAGCACCTGGTTTCACTTGTTGATAAAGGATGTTTGCCAGGTTTTATTGATTTAGTTAGATCTGCTGATATTGAAGCTGCAAGGCTAGGACTACAGTTCATAGAGCTGGTAAGAGATTTTGACGGTTGTATAGTAATTACTTCATATATTTTGATCTGAATCAGGCCTATTTGTGTAATTAATTACAAAATTTTACCTCACAGCCAAGAGCATACCAAGTTCATTTAGATCTAAACCCCTGGTTGTTTATGATTTGTTGTGTTTGTAGGTCCTGAGGGGGATGCCAAATGGTGAGGGCCCAAAGCTTGTAGAACAAGAAGATGGGATTGAAGCCATGGAAAGATTTCAGTTTCATGAAAATGAAGATCTGAGAACTATGGCGAATAGTCTTGTCGACCAGTATTTTGGAGAGGACTACGGGCTTGATGAGCAGTAGGGGTCAGACTGGTGGGATTGATAGTCATTTTGGTCATTAAAATGCATGCCCTGCCTCATCTGCATGTCAAATATGGAGCAATTTAAGTCACCGTCGTTGCTGATTGATGAACACTCCAAGTTCTATAGAATCTGTATCTGGTGTTGAGATGTTTGATAAATTATCAGGGGCTTGTGGTTAACATTTTTTTTGGGCCCTGACTCATCTGCATGTCAAAGAAATCATACACGATGGACTGAAATGTAAATTTTTGTTTTTAGTTCAGTTCCTGTTTTCTGTACGTTATTATAGTACCTGAAGAATAATAGAGTTACCAGTGAGCGCAATTTAGTCCCAGAACTCAAGTCGAGGCCTGGCCTGTAGTTTTAGTAAGGTTCCATTTTATTATTATTTTTTCGTTGTCAAATACCGTTCTATTGAGCCTTCATTCCATTAACCCTGTTTTACGCTGCCCCACATTCGAGTATGGGCATTAATTGCAAAAGGATTTTTGTTGAATTGTCACCTAACAGCCCAAGTAAACACACTAGTTGAATTGTACACACTAGTTGACCAAAAAACAAGTTGTACACACTAAACTCAAATCAGAATGTGTGTAACCATGTGATTGGAAAAATACTCGTTTCTGCAATTTGATCCAACAGGCCTAGCGGTACGAGGATGATGGGATGACCACTGAAATTTATATCTCTTGCTTCCCTTGTTATACATTATTTCATGAAGAATAGGCTGCCTAGGTTATTTAACAGAACCTACCTAAAAATTTGTTACAAAAGTGTAGTGCCAGTATTTCTCTTCAAAAATTCCATGTGATATAATACACACACCACTTCAATTACGCATGCTATCCGGAGGAGAGGTTGGTCTCAGCAGGCGTTTGATGATGGATGTTTTAGTCTTCTTGGGATAACCTTAAAATGCTTGAAATACCGATCACTGCATGTATTTTCGGTCCCTAGAGCACTGGCTACATGCTTGTAGCAGTTTTTTGTGTTGAATCATAAGCTGCTTTTATGAGAAATAGAACAATATACTTCTCTATCTGTGTCCAACTTCGTGGCTACAAAATAATTAATAACAAGATTTGCAACGTTATGTATTGCGTAACTCCATAACTAAAGTGTTTATGGTCTCAACAAATGATAATGTTACCAGTAATCAAACTTTGCAAGAAAATAATCTTAAAAAATAGCCACATGTCATAGAATAATTACTCAAGATCATAAATATGTGATAATCCTGGACTACATAATTATTCATCCGCTGCGCTCACACTTCTCACTTGACACATTTAAGATGATCGAAATTTCTCCTCATGTTGGAGATAAAATTTGATTTACCCAAATAAGACCCACAATTTGAACGGTCCAACCCAAGCCACGGTCATAATCTGATAAATTTTCAGCAAAATCATAATTATTTGGCGAGATCCTGATGTCCTTTTAAAATTATTATTTTAAAATTAAAATTGTCCTTGCTGCACTACTGGTCAACCCCAAATAATAATTAGACATCTAACCATGATAGCTAATATTAGTTAAATGGCAGCGAACATATTCTTGATACATAGATGCCAACTACTATTTGGTGTAGATAGCAACTCTTGCTCTCACACAAGCTTTTTTTTTTTTTTTCCTTTTACTTCAAGTGACATCCAAGTGAAGCAATACATTACCAATGAAATACCTCCACACAAAAATTGTAATGATTTAGTTTGGCAGCTCCAATCATAACCTTCCACAATTTAAACGTTTTCCTCAACTAATATGTGGTGCCCTTAAAAGCTTCAAGTTTATATTACACATCCTTCCTGCATTAATTTCCTGCATCAATATCTTAAATACTTGAATTCTCTGATACCTGGTGATTTCATTCCACCCTGAAGATTGTTCATCAGGTGGTTAATATTGGTATGTTTTAGAGGGTTGGCAGAAGATGGGATCACTAGAAAGGTCAAAAAAGAAAGTTATGCTATGGAAGAAAGCCATGGCGCATTTTTCTCTTTGTTTTGTGATGGGGTTCTTTACAGGCTTTGCTCCAACAGGTAAATCTTTATTTCCCAGCCATGTTGCAGCCTCAAATAGATCAGAATTTGCACCACAACCTATTGAAGTGTCACATATGACAACAAATGTCAATAGAAGTTGGATAGCTCCAACGCCAGAGACAATGCCAACAAGGTCTATAGTCAACAAGCAAACAACAAAATTTCATGCAAAACAAGGACCCCAGTTGAAGCCTCGGAGGCTTCTAATCATTGTAACTCCAACAAGCACAAGACTTCCCCTCCAAGCAGTGGTTTTGACAAGGTTGGCAAATACTATGAAGTTGGTTCCTCAACCATTGCTTTGGATTGTTGTGGAAGGGCAAACAGATTCTACAGATGTTTCAAAGACACTTAGGAAGACTGGCATCATGTATAGGCATTTGGTTTCCAAGGAAAACTTCACGGATGTGGAAACTGAGTTGAATCACCAGAGAAATCTTGCTCTCAAGCACATTGTGCATCATAGGCTAAGTGGGATCGTACACTTCGCTGAGCTTTCCAATGTTTATGATCTTGAATTCTTCCAACAATTAAGACATATTGAGTATGACTCTTCCCTTTCTATTTTATTCACTAGTTCTAGTTTTCTATCATCATCACTGGTTAAAAATTTTTTAAAATTCAAATTTGTATTAAAAATTATGTTAGAATATGTTAAAAGTCACGAGAATATATTGCTATATTGATTAATTATAAAATTACTTTTTATTTTTTTACTCACAACTTAGGATATTAATTAATATTTGTCTTATTATTATAAACATCAATTAAATAGGTTGACGATGAAATTAGGATGCTGAAAAATAAGCAAATGTTAGAATACTAATTAATATTTGTCTTATTATAATTTTAGCATCCTCATTTCACCCTCTAGAAGTTGCACCACAATCTTTAGGACCGTGTTAACAAAAGAGTGAAAAATATTGCTAGAGGGTGAAATGAGGATGCTGAAAAATAAACAAAATTCAAGTCCTGATGTATACTAAAGAAGAATGAAAACTACAATCGTAACAATCATTCACTACATATGTGATTTAAAAGTTAGAACTAACGAGAGAAACATGCCCTTTAATTATGTTAATGATATGGCAACTGAACAGGGTGTTTGGAACATGGCCAACAGCAATGTTAGCAGCTAACAGGAAGAAAGTGACAATCGAAGGACCTGTATGTGATTCTTCACAAGTCATGGGGTGGCATTTAAAGAATATGAAGAACGAAACTGAAACAATTACCCCTCCCATTCATATTTCAAGTTTTGCATTCAATAGCTCCATCCTCTGGGACCCTGAGAGATGGGGTCGCACTTCTTCTGTTCAAGACACATCTCAGGTACATATATCCTATATCCAAAGCATTAATATGATTTTAATAAATATAAAATAAATTAGTTATTAAATTATTAATATCTAAATTGTCCTCTACTCAAATCTTGCTCAATGGACATTTTTTTCTTGGTGTCTCCTGCTCATCAAATGTTACATCTGGAATTAAGAACTTACATATAATATTTAATAAATAATTTTTAAAACTCATGTTACAATGAGTAGTTAATAAATGCTAATGAACATGTCAAAGAGTAATCTCATACAGTTAAAAAAAATATTAATAACAGAGACTTTTGAATATATTTTTTAATATATCTCTTGTGGTCGGTTATTTAAAAAAAAAAATAAAAGGATCAATTTACAAAATAAATATTTTAACTTTTTTAAGAATTGACCAATCACAAAAACATCTAAAAAGTGTCTTGCTTATATTTAAACCTTAAGAAAAAGAACCTTGAGTCGTTACCTACGTTTATTTAACATTTGGCCAACTTCCAACTACTTTAAAGAGTAAAGATGAAAGTGAACAAAAGAAATGGTAACATATTAGGCAAGATAACCACAGTTTGATTGAACAATTCAACTAATCAGAATTCTAATTGTTATAATGTTTTCTACTCTTGCATAACTATACATAACCCAATTTCTATATCATATTAATTATTGAAAATGGTGTTCACTGATAATGAAAAATTGGTTTTCTTAGAATTCAATCAAATTCGTGAAGCAAGTAGTTCTAGAGGATGAAGCAAAGTTGAAGGGAATTCCCCCAGAGGACTGCTCCAGAATATTACTTTGGCGTTTCAATTTTCATGGCCGCACCATTTCAAATCATAAATCTCTAACTACTACATCAGAAGGCATCACAAGATAAATGGGAAAGCCAGAAAATAATGAACATAAAAAAAGGGGGCCATTGGAGAAATATACAACTTTCCCACTGTGAGGAATTTATTCATTATTTCTTACATTTACTTTTAGAAATTTCTCCTGCATGCTAATGATTTTATAGCATCTTTTTATTTTCACAAGTTTTGTTAGCTTGTACATGACCATCTTTATCAGGGTTGCATTGTAAGTAATTGTAAAGAATTAATACATGTATATTATTATTTGTTTCTTATAGAAGCAATTTAAAATGTACTTTGGATAGATTAATCTTAATATCTAGCATTTAATGTTGTTTTCTAACGTTATTTGACAGATGCTTCTATATATGTTATATGTTAAAATGACAAAGTTGTCTGTCTCAGATAAGATACTTTTTTTAATAGAATATTTGTGATTCAGATAAAAATAAAATAAAATACGATTGTATATAAAAATAATATTTTTACACGCAATTGATGAACACTTTAGACGATTGACGATGTTAAATAATCATGAAGGTAATATGTAGTATTAATAGAGAGTAAAAACACACTATACATGCAATTAAAAGCATACCCTAGAACAACCGACCACGTGGTCCTACCCGATGGTCCTAAAAAGCACACTCTAGAAACAAGTGCCTTACATGATTCATATTCTCAATGTATATACTTATCTTTAAAATAATTACGATAAGATTTAATAATTTTAAGTACATAAAAAATTTGTGATTGGATGATAATATATATATATATATATATATATATATGAATTAAATCATATCTTTAACTTTAAAACAATGATATATATTATGAAAATAATCCTTTTGAATAGAGTAATAATTAAAAAAAATTTTAATGAAATAATTATACTTTTTTCTGTCTTTATATTATATTTTATGTTTATAAATACATTTAATTATTCATGGTTAAATTTCTCTGTATAATATTATAGGTTTATAAAATGTTTAAGTAAGTCATCATAATTTAAAATTTTTAACACTATCCTTATAATTCTAATTAAGTTATTGTTTTAAACTATCTTAGAATTCTATTAATTTTTGTTAAATTATAAAAACTTAAAAGATAAACTATAAAAGTTAACTAATCCGCCCAATACATGCTTTATTATATTTTTATACTCTGCGAGTTTATAAATAATTTTTCATAATTTAGTGTGTGAGATCCTGATTAATTTTTTTAGAAGTATAAGAACTTTGTTAAAAAAAAAAATTATAGGAATTTATTTTAAAACACCATAAAACTATTGAGATATACATATTTATTTAGCCATTATTTATTAAATTAAAAAATTAAATGTTAGATGGATAACCTAACTAGTAGTTATTTACTTTGAATAAGGGATTTATAATTTTATAAATGTCAAAATTTATTTGAACAAAAGTAATAAAATCATAAACAGTTTTTGCACACTACTTATATATTGAAAAAAATGTAAATATTTAAGTGAAGTTTTAGGTTCAAATTTCATGCTTTATAAAAGTTATTAATTTTATCATGTTATAAATATTTTTTACTTGAATATAATTATTCAACGAAAGATATCTATAGTCTAAATATATATATAAAAAAAAGCTTGAATTCAAATATAAATACGGTTTGCCCTAACTTTTGTTGGTATGTGTATATAATAGAATTGATATGTATAAGTACATTTAACTCTACGCGTGGAATATTCAAATATAAATATGGTTTGCCCTAACTTTTTTTGGTGCAGTTCATTATGTCCATGTGTCTACTTTAATGCATGTACATGTGAAGAAATCATTACTCGGGACCGTAAAATTGAAGGTGCCTAAAATAGCGACAAGTACAATTTTGCTGTATTCATTCAAACACCCAATTCAAATATTAAATTCTGCAGCACTGTTACAATTCACAATATGCAGAGTACATAATAAAAAGTGCTAGTTCTGTCGCCAAAAAAGAAGAAGTGCCAGTTCAATACTCGCTACTGAATTTGTGTGTTTGCTATGATGTAAATGCTTCTCATTTTGCTGATTTCCATTAAGAAATTTATACAGACAATTTAACCTATTTCAGAGTTGACTTCTAGAGAAAAATAAAACACTTTTTAAGTCAGTTATTCTTATTTAAAAGTTTTTAGATGAATGTTTATAAATTCTTTAAAACTTTCATATTTTTATATTAAGTTCATGATACAACTGGCATAGCCACGTAACTCCAAAATAAATCCTCCTAACGACACATAACGACGCAGCTATTCTTAACAAAACTCAACACTAATTAAATGTTAAATAACATAGCACCCCAAAGAATAAAAATCAGATAACCATGAAGATTCTATTATAACATCAAATCATGCATCATCATCATTATTCAACAAGAAGTTAGGATACAAGTGTCAAACGAGAAGGCAATAATTTTGATATTTGAACGATCATTTGGTGATTTGGCCTTATTTTGCTAACATCACCGACAAAATAAAGGGGGGAATAAAATATATCTTAGTTAGGATTTGTTACAAGAGGGTTAGATGTTAGGTCTTAAAAGCAATTATACTTGTTACAAAGAAAGAATCTGTTGCAAGTGTGTTAGACGTAAAAGTTATTAAATTTTGGTTGGACAATTTTTTTATTAGAAATTTGGTTAGATTGGAGCTGCTATACCCTACCATGTAGTGCAATAAATCATTTGGCAATTTGGTTTTGTTCTTCATTCTATCAGTAAAATAAATGGAGAAATATATACCGCAGAGTTTAGGTGTATATGAATTAGGGTTGCAACCATGTTGTGCCTATTGCCCGAAAATTCAATCTTTTAATTTCTGTTTAAGATTGAATTATGATCTACTATATTATCGATCTTGTACATTATCTGAAATTTACCATATAATCAATATTGCAATTAAACATATGTGTCTAATCCCTTTTTATTTTAAGTACATTAAGACTATTTTCTATAACCAAAGACTAGTTATTTTTAAGTGAATATAATTAAGAGTGGGTCTGAATAACACACTTGAAAGATCGAAATATTTAAAAAGTCCTATTAACTAGTGTTCTTGAGATATTGTTTGAGGAATGAATAAATAGTAATTTAAAAAATAGAAATGTTAAAATGTTTTGGAAAATTATTAAACACTTCTTACATTTTTTATTAAAAAATTCTATTTCTAACTTTTTTAATTAATATTTTTAGAACACTGATTAGGTTTTCTATTGTTATTAAAAACGGCGTTGGATTTTAGCAAAGTAAATAAACTTTATCCTAGTTACCAACTTCAGTCGGGGTATTATTTATTTGACGTTCTATATTAAATGAATTGAAATATACAGTGCTTGATGCAATTCAAAATATATGTATGACAAAGATGTGTTCACATATGGTTGTTCGTATAAGCTTAAAGCGTAGTATGCGAATAGCAAGTTTTCAGAATAGTGTGTTCCATAAGTTACCACTAATAATGAGAAATTTCACTTAAAAGGCTAAAAGCAAAGCAAAGCAAAGTTACTCGAAATTCCTTTGTTACGTGAGCAAGAGAAAAGCATGAAAACGCAAAAGGATCCTTCTTATGAAATAATTATCAAGTACAAAAGGAAAGAAGGAAAGCAAGTAAGGAATTTAGTTTTTTATATCTTGATGCGAAAAACTTCAGTTTCACAGTGAGTTAAATATGTTAAAAAGGTTTTAACAAGTTGGCAAATCATTTAGCATAACTTGCTTTCATTAATTCTTATTCTATTTGAGTTGACGAGACTTTTATGTCAATTGTCTTTCTTCTCATGGTAGATGTAGGTTTTGGCCCAAATTTAATTCTTTTTAATAAGTTTACCCTCAATTTTTTAAAATATAATGTTTAATTAGTACCAAGGTCTTTGATTTTACTTGAACTACATATCTTGTGGAGGTTATTCATATCTTACAATGGTTGTTCAGTAACATGAGGTGGAGATGACTTGACAATTGAAATGGAAGGAAAGTTACTCCAATAAACACTACACTGCTTAAGTTAAAAAAAGGTTGAATGGTAATATTTTTTAGTGTAAGATAGAGAGAGTAATTACCTGGTATCCTTATACCATTTTCTGCATATAGGTCTTGATTTCTTTGAATTTTTGCCTATCATTATAACCCAATTGTCAATTGTTGAGCTAATATCATGTGATAGAAAATTGCTTAATAAGAGTGAATACTTTTTACGAGCTTTTAAGTGATTAAACCCTTTAATTATAAGGTTAGACACATGATTTATACTTATTAATGGGACAAGTCCCATTTACGTTTGCTTATTTGCATCATTTGAGTGGTATAAGTTTTCAATCAAGTTAGAGTGGTCCTCCTGGAGGGGAGAATGATTGCCTGCAACACATGGTTTGAGATGAAATTTTTGCCAAATTGACCACATTCAAGTTGTATAAGGCCATATCAATTACCCTTCAACTAGATATTAAGATTATCATGTCGAGCTAATTATTTCAATCATTTGCATGACGCTAGATCAATTAAGTTTTAACAATTACTACATTAAACATGCATCATATGGAGAATTTTATTATCCTTAATTTTGATCATATTTAATTTTTTTTCAATACTGTTAAAGTATGTATTTAGATTCTTTATATGAGTCAATGATTTTGCTTTTTTTTTTTTTTTCAATTTTCTTAAATTTATTTTTTAAAAATATTTTTAATTAACATTTCATAATAATATGATATATATATCATATTTTAAAATAATTATTTAATATATATCACATTATTACTGAATAATGATAAACATTGTTTTAGAAAAAAGAATTCTTAAGGAGCTAAAATTATATTATCTCTATTCTTATTTGTCCTTTTAGAGAAAACGAAAAAAGATAAGTTCTGAAGTACCTATAAAAATTTTTAAGATATTATACATAAATTTTTTTAACTAATAATATTTAAACATGTATTTAAATAATAAATTTATTTAATAATAAATCATTATATTATTTTATTTTATTTATTTATTAATCTCTCAATAATTATTATTAATTAAAAAATAAAATTTAAGCTGGGATTGAATTCAGCTTTCACATTCAAATGGAACTGGGCGGAAGAGCCTTTGGATTCTTTTCCCACCGTAATCCACCCATTGTGGAGCACTATAGCTTTGGCTACAGTTCCCGTCAGATCTAATAGCATAGACACTTTGCCTAGAAGCCTCTCGGAATTGACGCCGCAGGTGGTGCCGCGGCGGCCGGTATAGATGGAGATTTTGAGGCAAAGTTTGTTGACGAAGATGGATTTTCCGGCAAGCCTATCGAGATCGGACTTGCTGAGGTGGAAGGTGGCAGCGATGGGTTGAACCTGAGAGTCAGGGAAGTGGGTATTGGGAGGGATGAAGAGGACGAGTGCAGATTGGAGAGGAAAGTTTTTGAGCTTGATCTTGCAGAAGCATAGAGAAGAAGAAGGGTGAACTAGGAAGCGTGCGGGCTTAAAAGCAACGGGAATCTTGAGGGCAAGGTTACCAACGATTAGGTGCATGAAGGGGTAAGGATCCATGGCGTGTGACAGAGGGAGAAAGAGAGAAGGGGAGATGGAGAAGGTGAATGCTAATGGAGAGAATGCAATCGCGTGGAGGGGTATGGAAGAAGCATGTGGGAGAGGGAGGGAGCAGCAGCGACTAGGCGAGATTGCACAGGAGCAGCGATGCGGCGGAGGTTGTGCAAGCTGTACTTGGAAATATTAAAAATCTTAAATTTTGAATAATTAGGACTAGGTAACAAATAATATAAATAATATAATTTTAAATAAATTATTTATAATAATATATATTTTTTATAATTTGTAGTATATTTTTTTATTAGTATAAATTTTTTAAGTATAATATTTATAAAAAAATTTAAAATATTACAGCACACACCATACAAAAAATATTTATTTACATATTATTTATTCAAGATAATATTAATTACTATCATTCAATTAATACCTTTTATATTTATTTATTTGAGTAATTTAAAATTTAAAAAGAAAATTATTAATAAGGTTAAACAAACATGTTTAACCATTAATTTGAACAAAATATTTTAATTTCTTAACTGTAAACGGGAACGGAGGTATTATTTACAAAGAATATAAAGTTCATTAACGATATATAATTCATTAGTCTATGAATGATTAGGGACAATAATAATAATAATAAGTCATGTATGCACCTAAGCTCTGTCAACAACAACGAAAAATAAGTGCAGCAACAGTTAAGACAAGGAAAGGAAAGCAGTTGAATAGTTTAGATATGAGTGAAGACAGAACAGATATGAATGGCAGAAGACAACTACTTCCATGAGCGGGACCAATGTCAACATCCATCCAAAGGGGCATCTTTCATCGTGAGAATTTAACTCTTTTAAAATAAAATCAAATGTTTTAAATATAAAAAATATTTATCATTAATTTGAATTAAAACATTTTATAAATATAATTAACTTTAAATTAATATTTTTTTTCTATTTTACACGTCTCTCTCAACTTTAGAAGAAACAAGCTCTATCATGGGACACGGTTAACATGGTAACAAAACAAACAACAACCTTGGATGATATTTAGGTGGGTCCCGCTGTCCCTAACTCGAGGAGTGCAGTGGGGTCACGCTATTGGCTGAACCAGCTGTTCTCTCTCTCTCTCTCTCTCTCATATTCTCTCATCATTGACACTCTTTGTCCCTTCCCAAGATCTCATAGCATTTCCTTCTTTACAGGGTAGAGAGTGCAACTAAGCGTAATCTTCAAGTCCTTATCTTTTTGTTCCTTTTTCTTCAGAGACATTGGGCCAGAAGACTAATAACAACATATTTCAGATCTGTCTCTTTGGTTTCACTTCAGGTACTCTCATTTTCCATCTTCCCCTGACCTTTATTTAATTTTATTTTTGCTATTTTCCACTTTCCCATTTCCTCTTCGTAATTATCTGTTAATGCTCTCTACAGTCGGCTAAATGTTGCTGGGCATGTTTAAAGTTCTTCAATTCATTTCCTTTTTTATGGTTTGGTGAAAATTCTTGTAATTTCAGCATCAGGGTGTTACTCAATTTTGACTGGAAATGCTAATTTGACTAGACACATGCATTCTCTATGTTACGTTGCAGTGAAAATGTGAAAAGAAAGATAGTTCAATTGTTCATAATAGAATTTAATAATAGGAGCAGATCCCATTGAATTTCCTATTCAAAGGCAAGCTAAATCGGTGATATCCTAAAATATTTTCATAATTTTCTGTGTAAAGGGTCAAATTGAGGAATGCCAAGAAAATGGGGAGGAAGGGAAATTGGTTTTCTACTGTGAAGAAAGCTCTGAGCCCTGAGTCAAAGGAGAAGAACGATCAGGTTAAGATAAAATTTATACTTAACCTTTCTCAGTTAATTGGATGTTTCTTATAGTGTTAGCAACTGCTTTTGCAGAAATCATGTAGATCAAAGAAAAAATGGTTTGGGAAGCAAAAGTTGCAGACCTCAGACTCATACTCAGAAACTGATAAAGCACCTCCTCTTCCTCCACCTGAGGAGATTATTGTAACTCATGTTGAGAGTGAAAACCATCATGATTGCATTGAGGTTGCAACTACTGTGGTTACTGAGGAACCTGTTTCTGCTGTTCAGACACCAGTTGCTGAGGTTCAAGCCTTTACAATTATTCAGTTTGACTCTAAACCAAAGGATGAAGTGGCAGCAATCAGGATTCAAACAGCTTTTCGGGGATACTTGGTATGCCTTGAAATTTTTATGTAAACTAAATTTGGACTTGTCCTAACTTAACCCCAGAAGCTAGCTTGTAAGTTGTAAGGGGAAGATTGTCTTATCCATTATCAGCTTTAATTTGGCCATATTTGTAGTCGACAAGGGATCTCAACATTAACCAATATAAATGATTCCATTCATCTATTTTTTTCAGCCTCTTTCTTACCATTATCTGTTAAAAGTTTTTACTACAAGAAAAAACCCTCATGTACAAAAATGATGTTGCACTTTCGTGTTCACTGCAAACTAACAGTGGGGTCAATAATTAATGAATGTCCTATTTGATTACACCAAGTTATCAGAGGCCATCTATGGTAATCAATAATTGCTGCAAAAGAATGCTTCTTAATTCAATGATACACTACTTTCAAGCGCTGAATTTTCTTTTGAACTCATTCAGGCAAGAAGAGCAATGAGGGCTTTAAGGGGGCTGGACAGGTTGAAATCACTGATGGAAGGGCCAGTGGTAAAGCGTCAAGCCATTAATACGCTTCGCTCAATGCAAAGTTTTTCTCATTTGCAATCTCAAATTCGTTCTAGGAGGCTCAGGATGTTAGAGGAGAATCAAGCTCTTCAAAAACAGCTTTTGCAGAAGCACACAAAAGAGCTAGAGACCATGCAGGTCTCTGGGTTTTGTTTCTAATGATTTATTTTAAAATGCTAATCTATTGGCATGGAGAATATTTATTTGAGTTTTAGTATATAGATATTGGAATGCTTTTAACTTTGTTTCAAATTCTCATAACAGATTGGTGAGGAATGGGATGACAGCGTACAATCAAAAGAACAAATTGAAGCCAAGTTACTAAGCAAGTACGAGGCTACTATGAGAAGAGAAAGAGCAATGGCATATTCATTCTCTCATCAGGTTTTCTACTTATGAATCTACATTTGTTAGGATTGTGAAACAAAGAAATGATAAAGGGATATGGATGAATTTTTTTTTTAGATTGACATGGAGATCAGAAAAATATTGATATAGATTACACAACAGTATAAAGACCTAACTTTATGAATCTTTGTTTCCTCATGTCTTGAAGCTGTTCTCATCATTTCATCTAAAAGCTAGGTTTGATAAGTTTATGAATCCTTGTCTATCTTGTCGCTAGCTTCTGAATCTGAACCATATTTAACATTGTTTTTGCTGTTTATGAATTTCCTACCATATTTATTTGTTAAGTTTCTTCTAGTTAAAAGCTTAGCAACCTGGTTTTTCATCTCATCTGCCAAAGATGCCAAGAAATGAAGAAGTCCACTAGTCCAGTAATGATGAAATTACTGTAGCATTATTTTGAGTTTGTTAGAGAAATATGTAGTTTCATGAGCTTACAAAATACACCTGGAGAACATGGGATCTACCGTGTATGATTTCTTTCACCTTCTTCAATTTATGCTCTTAATTGGGAGATTAGAATACAGGAGTTTTGAGCCCTGATACATTTAGCCGGGTCATGTCTTAGGTGAAATGGAAGAATGATTTCATGTTATCCATGCAAAACATGCCACTTAAGCTACCTGAATAATCCTATTTTATGACATGCTTGGTGAAGTTAACAGCATAATTTCTTACTTGTGTGTGGAAGCATTTGGTTACCTGATAGATGTATAGCAGTCTCTTCCCTATGATATAAGACATGGCTACTAATACTAGTTTAAGTTATACTTTGAACAAATTAAGTTGTGAGTTTGATGTTTAAACAAATATGCATGTGTATATTTCTTACAGCAAAACTGGAAGAACTCATCAAGATCTATAAATCCAATGTTCATGGATCCAACCAATCCTGCATGGGGTTGGAGCTGGTTGGAACGATGGATGGCAGCACGACCGTGGGAGAACCATGGCCTAATGGAGAAAGAGAAGAATGAGCATTCATCTGTAAGAAGTTCTAGCCGCGGCATTACAAGTGCCGAAATCAGCAAATCATTTGCTCGTTTCCAGCTCAATTCTGAAAAGCATTCTCCAACAGCAAGCCAAAATCCAGGCTCACCAAACTCACAGTCTCAATCTCTTTCAAATCCTCCAAAACCAGCTTCTACAACAGTTACTAGGAAACTGAAGAAAGTGAGCCAAAAAGATAGCCTTGTTATGGATGATGACACCAAAAGCATGGCTAGTGTGCAATCAGATAGGCTCAAGAGGCACTCAATTGGTGGATCAATAGTGAGAGATGATGAAAGCCTTGCAAGTTCTCCTTCAGTTCCAAGTTACATGGTGCCAACTAAATCTGCAAAAGCTAAGTCTAAAATGCAGAGTCCATTAGCCACTGAGAATGTGACCACTCCAGAGAAGGGGTCTTTTGGCACTGCAAAGAAACGTCTTAGTTTTCCAGCTTCACCTGCTAGACCAAGGAGGCATTCAGGTCCACCAAAGGTTGAAAGCAGTTTCAATGCAGAAATCACTGTGGGAAATGGTGTGAATAGTTGATTATATTGTCTGAGTAAAAGGATGAAAAAAAGCACTTGAAATATCATGGAAGAAATAAGTGAAAAGTTAATTTGATGTGTCTATTTATTTATTTATTTATCCAAATTATCATTTGTATCTTAATCTTATCATTTCTTGGAGGCTATTTATTTGGGGGTGAAAACTGTTTTACTTGTTACACTTGTCGATTTGTTTTTTCATGTATCTACTCACAACTTGCCCTGAGGGGATGAATTGTGGTTCATGAAAGTCAGAAGAGTATTACCCTGCTCATCATATAAAATGTATATTTTTCATTGTCTAATTTCTTAAATGTTACTATGTTTTGTGAACAGTGATGTTTATGTTGTGTATAGCTTGCTTGGACTGTTATGAGCTGTATGATCCGAGGCAGAGAATTTGTGAACAACCCAAAAAATTGTTTTATAAACAGGGTCTTATTCTTCGTATGCCAAAATATTTGAACAATATCAATGAAAAATACTTTCTCCCCGTCGTACTTTGGAGGACCCAAGTTTGCATGAAAATGTGTCATTTTTACATTGTCATATATTGTGATTTGTTATAAATGTCAAAAAGCGTTGATTTATTGAACCAAATTATGATTTTATATGTTTTCCGTTGGTTTTTAATCAAGGGTCCTTGACTTGCTGTTTGTCTATTAAAAATGAAATTAAAGTTAGATTATGCTTGAACAATGTTACATTCTCTTATAGTATCTTACTATTACTTTTCTTAATAATTTATAAAATATTAAATAAAAATGCATTTAATATCATAAAAATATTAAAAACAATTCTAGACCATCTTTTAATATTACGTAGGAGAATAAGCTAAAAAAGCATTATAAAAAGATTTAAAATAATTCTTAAATAACTTTTACTATATGGATTAACATAATCAAATAACAAAATGGGCAACTGTGCTCAACCTACTTTAAAAACTGACCTAAAAATTTTAACCTACCTCGTTCACGGCTAAATTAGCAGGCTAGCCCACCAAATTTTTTTAAAAACTAACAAAAACAAATGAAAGTGGATCACTGGATTGACAGAAATTAATTGATTTAAAGTATTTTTTAAAAGATCAAAGTGTCTCATTTGTTTACAAAACGAAAGCCTCTATGAAAAAACCTAGACACTGTTATCATTAATGTACATTGAATGATTAGCCTAAGCTTCATTTATAGGTTTGGATTAACTTTAAGTGTAAATTAAATTTTGGTAAGAACATCATATATCAGCTTATTAACTTTATAGTAAATCTTGATTGACAAATAATTTTTATTGTCATGATTGACGAATAATTTTAAGGCATAGACAATTTTTTCTTCTTCATCATACTTCTAAACAAAAAAAAAAAGCATACAAATTTAATTTAATTCATAAATGTGTTAATATTGTTTTTTAATTAAAAATATGTTTTATTATAACATCTATAAATTTGACAGAGTATTTTCATACTCTCTTAAAATTATTAGTTATAATTCTTCTAATATCTTAAAAATAAAAATATTAATCTTTTTTAATTAAATTACTAATTTTACTATTTATTAATATAAAATTAAGTGTTATACGTACGAGAGATGGTACAAACATTTTCGATCATAAGATAAATTTTACCTTAAAAAAAGTTAACTCAAAAGTAATTTTTTTAACGTTAAAGCAGTTAAATTTTTAAAAGAAGTGTGTTTGAATAAAATAATTTAGTTGTTTATGTGAAAAATCAGACGTGCGGAGCAAGGAAATTTAAAACAAAAAATAAATATAAAAATAAAATCCCTAGTTTCGTTTCGTAAATAGATGTTCCTCAACCAAACCCTCTTTGCAGGCAAAAGCAAAACCCTATTCCAATTCTCCATTCTCAGTTGGGGAAGGTTTCAACAATATGGTAAGCCTTCATCGTTATTTTCAAATTTGCATCCCTTTAATTTCGATTTCGAACTGCAAAACGATCCTTAACATCGTACCTTTCTCGGTGTATACCTGTAACGTCACAGCAAATTTTCCCCTTTAATTTTGGATCCGAAAAACCTGATTTTTCTGCAGAAGAGATCTTGCTTTTTTAGTCATGACTTAATTATTAATTTATTTGTCAGTAACGTTTTATTCCTAATCTTTTGGTGCAAAAAAGATAAGTTGTTTATTGTATTGAATTTTTTTATCTTTCGGTCTTCCTAGTTGTTTAGGGTTCTGGGATTGGATAGGGTTTGGGGAAAGGGTTTTTTGTTGATGCGTTGAAAGCAGAACCTGGATTTTATATCCTTGTTGTCTCTATTAAGAATGATTTGAAGTTGAATTTTTCTGGCTATATTTGCCTTCATACGATACTGTGGCTAACAGGGGGTAGGGAATAAGGAGAATTTTTGAAAGTTTGTTGATTTTTAAAGTGTCTTTCTTTTATGGAACTGAAGTTGAAATTTGGAACAGACTACGCCATTGATGGCAGGGCTTGCCGTGGCGGCTGCGGCTTATGCCGGTAGATATGGTATCCAGGCTTGGCAAGCATTCAAGGCTAGACCTCCTACGATGCGTAGATTTTATGAAGGTGGTTTTCAGGCTACCATGACTAGGAGGGAAGCAGCGCTTATACTGGGTGTTAGGTAACTCACTTTTTTGTTTATTGTTTTAAGACATTGCAAGTTTGCAACGAAAGTTTGAGTGAAATATGCCCTAAAATATCAAAATTTGTTTAATGGAGGTGTTTGTTGTCAATTTTTTTTGTTCTGGTGAGTAACTGATTGAATTAATATTTGATATTTCTTGATATGAGATATTGATCCTTTTTTGTGATATCTTTACAACCCTGCATGTGTATATACCCAACACATAACAAAGGTTCAGCCTCTTAATGTGAAAATTACACGTCAAAGGTCATGTCCTAATCAGTGCTTGAGTTTTGCAAAGTTTGAGGTAAAAATTGATAAGGGATTTGAGAACAGTAGCAACCATCTTATTAGTGCAGTGGTTTGGGTTAAACAAAACTTCAAAACTGCACATCTATTGTCTGATTTGAACCTTTAGTGTTCACTGAGATAGTCAATAGTGTGCTATTGTGGTACTACAGTGAGTAGTGAAAGAGACTTCCACCATGGAGTGTTTTTTGTTGCAGCCATGATTCTGGGCTGCTATTGCAAAAAAGCAGACATTCTGACCATTGTCCTGTTCTCTTCACGATCTGGCCTCTTATGTTTGAAACATATAGGGGTTCCTGTCTTTCAACACACAACAGGAAGTGTGGCCTCTGTTTCAACAAATAAAACATGAAGTTTGACCCCTATTGCCTTTCCAACCTTGATATTTTCGGACAGATCCATTGCTCTCTAGCATCCATAAAATAATTTATGACATTTTCATATTTCATATTCCCCTAATTTGTTTTTGTCATTTCCTTTTTCCAACTCTTTCTGTCTCTGCTCTAGTATCTGATGTTCTGTTTTATATTAACTCCATTATTTTTCCTTTTACTTCATTCCTATGTTCTCATTTCTCTTGACAGCCTTGGCATCTACTCAACCACAACAACATAGCCTTTGTTGTTATTGACTTTATGACTTGTTAATGAAGCCTTAGATTGACAGTGATTGTTATCTTTATTGATTATGAATGTCTTCTTATTTTGAACAATTATATATGTATGGTATAAACCATTGTTTTTGTACGCATCAACAATCTTTGGTATAGCAGTATTCAATTATCCTGCTATAGCATTTTTGGTGCAGCTACTCAGCACTGTGATCCAGGATTCATATAACTATGGCTGCCATTGTGTTTCTCTTGCTGATTTTTTGTTGTCACTGTGGCAGAGAGCGCACTCCAACAGATAAGATTAAAGAAGCACATAGGAGGGTGATGGTTGCAAACCATCCAGATGCAGGTGGCAGCCATTACCTTGCATCCAAAATTAACGAAGCAAAAGATGTGTTACTGGGAAAAACCAAGGGCGGTGGTTCAGCATTTTGAAGCTCATTTAAGCCCTCCCATCGATTATTTTGACAGTTTAAACCGCGGTCCTCACTAATATCAATTAAAATTTTTTTTGGTCATGACCTAATTACTTCTTGTAGACCCAGTTATATAGTTGAGAAATTTGAACATATTTATCATTTCTATCGGGATGATAAAGCATTAAAGCTTCATTGTACCTAGGCTTTGTGCTATTGAAGTTGAGAGTTAAGCAAATAAATGTTATTTTACTTGGTACTTTTACTATAATTCTTGCACTCTCAGTTGATCTTTCTCTTCCCCCCTATGGTTCAATTGATCTATGACATATATTTCACTTCTAAGGTAATAGATTCTGGATTGGTTTTAAAATTATTTAGATCTTAAACGTTTCAAACATAGATGTATAGTTTTTTCGTGAAGGTTTTCAAAATCAAAGTCGTCACTTTTGACTCGTTTCTAAACTTATATTTATTGATAAAAAAGTTGCCCTGAAATAATTTTAAAAACTATGAAACTAAAAGAGTAATTTATCTTAAACATATAAATAGTTAAGAACTTTGCTTTTAAAAAAAATACCAAATGTATTATAGAAATTCAGTTTTAAGGCAATTTTGTTCGAGGGTAAATCATTACTTTGGTCTTCAAACATTTCTACCTTTATCTGTCTATATACTTATTATAACGATTATTTTATGTGTTTTATGAATAAAAAATAAAAAACTAATAAATAACAAATTTTGATAAATTCAAACCAACATATTTAAAGTACTGGTTAAAAATTTAGAGAGTTTTTGTCAAAAAAAATATAATTAAGACACTTTTTGTAATTTTCAATTAATTTAACATTTTTTTTTAATTCACTAATCAGTGCACTCAAAATACAAATTAGCAAGACCATATTTTTTTATTAAAAATCCTAACATTTAATTTCATTATAAGATTTTCAATAAATTAAATTACTCTTCGATACACATTAACAAGCCGTACTTTTAAGACTACTCTTGAGGAGCTCAATTTCTAGTAACGTTGATTATGTCGTCCCTGCTATCTAATGACATCCGTTAATTGTGATGGAAGTGCCCGGTAAGCACTATAAATAAAACACCGGATGGCAGCTGATCTGACTATGACTGGATTTAGCTTATTCTAATAACATTTCTTTCATTCTCTTTTAAGTACTTTTGTAAAATTTCAAATGTTTATAAATGTCTAATATTCATGTAAATTTTTCAAAAATGACTACAAGTGGAAGTAGTAGAACCAACTAATTAGACAGGGTTTAAGGTACAATTTGCTTAGGGAGGGGAGAGAAGGGGAAAAAAATGCATGTGACATTCGTGTTTTACCTATATCTCCAAAAGCTCTTGCGGTTCAAAATTCTGATGAGAATAAAAATTAGCATTCTCTTCTTTCAAGCTCCACCGAGCAGCGGAGCCACCTGTGGTATTTACATCCAACCTAAGACGTGCACATCTGCAGTTACGAGTCATTTAACAATAGAAGCAGTCAAACAACTGCTTGTAAAACCTCTTCCTTATCCTCCTCGAATGCAGTTTCCTCTTGTCGTTCAACCGGACCTTGAGGATTTCCAAAGAGAGTGGCAAACATCTGCCTATGGCACTGATCACAATAAAAGAAATAAGAGAAGTGGCCCTCGTTTGGAAGCTTATGGATGTCAGCCTCTGGCAAAACCCGTTCTATATATTCCATCATTGATGGTGGGGCCACCCTATCATCTAATCCCTGTGAAGGATTGAAAACGAAAACGTGAGATTTACACGTAATAACAAGTTGATCATTATAAGAATAAAACAAATCCTTGTACCATCAACTAACATATGCAATATGCATCATCATTTTACATTAAATTGTAGTCAGATCTACCTGCCACACATGTATTTTATATTTGAAATGAAACGATACTGTGTCAATTTATTTATTGACTTGGTCTACCCAAGTTGTTTACACTACCTCTCTACACTCATCTCTTGAAAGCACCGCATCGAATGTTTGTTCCATGATGCATTACAAAATTGAAATATCAAAAATGCACTTAGATATCCCATAAGGTATAGTTGAGCATGGCTTCTCTTTTGGGTAAATAGATCTGTATCAACTTAGAAGTGTCGTTGAAGGCTAATAGTCAGTGATTGAATTTTTTGGAGCAATTGTCACAATACAATAACCTCTGGCTACCATTTTTCTGACATTAAGAAGGTGGAATCTCCTAATTTCAATAGTCCCCGATTAACAGTTGATTACCACTTTTTGATCGTTTATAACAACCAACATGTATAAAAGTTAACTATTGTAAAAATAATGACACAAAAATACAGAATGCAACAAGTGCAGTATTCTAAGCACAACATGTTATAAGTTCAAACCTGCCATATGTGTGTAAGGCCAAGAAATCCTGCTAATTCACATTCTGCTTGACTGTACATGGATTTCAACCAAAGAAGTATGCCTCTTGTTTGACACTTCTTCTGCACGTGAAGTTCTTCAATGTCAAAACCCCAATTTGATACCTGCAGAACAGCTTCCTGAATAAATGAGTGTATGTTTCCCTGACGAACTGACTCCTCCACACTCCTCTGCCAAAATTCCTCAAATTCTGGTTCTTCAATTAAAAGTTTATCCTGCACATGTGAAAACACTTATACTAACAATCATGGCAGAGCTAAACATCTTTCACACACAGGTACTTTCACAAGCTGCTAATGAAATGAGGTAATTTATGTTACCTAACATTGTGTTTTGGATCTATATTTAAAAGTCAACTTTAATTTTATGTTAAAATGTAAATTTCACCAAGCAAGGCAACAAAGAGATGAGAATCAGTTTCTCATAGGCTGGGATTTTAAACATTACAATAATAAAAAAATTATTTCAGATGTGGCCGAGATGATGCTACCTCACAGAATATACAATTAGAAGTGCACAATTATTCACTCTCTTCTGTAATACTACCAGATAAAAGCCAACAGTACTAAAGCTCTGTAGCTTCAATATGTTAGGTAAAGCCATTTCAAGCAAGACAAATTGGATGGCTCCATAGTTTTTTAAACCAGATTTTGACAATTTACAATCTGACATCAAAATCACTGTGATTCAGTATCCAGCTAGTAGGGCATCAACCTCAACTTAAAAATACGTTAGCATGTACAGACAACAATGCTAGTTCGTGTCCATGACAGTTGCAACATACTTTAAAAGTATTTATACTTGTTACATAGTTCAAGTTGGCTTATGACACACTCACCTTCTTTCCTAGCGACAAAGAGAGCAGCTTATCAATTTCGTCATGCTTTTCAGGCAAGAAGCTTTTCTGGTAGAAAAAAGCGAGAAGTTTTGGAAATCTACGAGCCAAGGAATACATCATTTTCCTCCTTGGTAGCCACTTCTCCCAAGTTCTTTTCATCTCATCCTTAGTCATGTGTGGGTCATATGGATTAATCATAGGAGCCAACATAGCTGCACCTGCAATTTTGGACAATATAATAAGTTACATCAGATTCCACAATGTGCCTCTTTTCTTTGTTTGGGGGTTGGAGGTTAGAAATACTGGAAAATGGAGCATTTCCAAAAAGGGTAGGCAACTCAATATAGCATTGCTTCTTGGTATGAACCTAATCATTTTTTTTCCTAATTTCATTTCCATTAACTTGTAAGAATGAAAATGGAGTCACAATAATAACTTCATTGGCATTAGATTTGTATGAGGCCCAAAATGTTAACATTATCAATATCAATTTGTTATAACCCTCTTTCACTGGCTACTAGCAGCATGAGAGGTACATAGGACTAGAAAGCCTTAATAGGACTACTAATAGTAGTTTTGCAGAGTAACAAATCTAATTTCCCTGGATAAACATCCGTTTTAAATGACAGATGATACTTTCCATACGGGGTACAAGTGCAAATCTATAGTCACATATTGTTGATCGTGTTGTAAGAGATTTGTGCCTATATAACACACATGCTCTTTTCTCAAGGAAACACTTGATATTTTTCATTTTTATTTTTTCTTTCATTGAGAAAAAAGATTGCTATCATGTATTCTCTTTAGACATTCAAACAAGTCAGTCAATCTGTTTTATAGCAATGATATACCATTTTTTTAAGACATAAAACTTGATAGCCTCACTACGCCCACATTTTAAGTTGCTTTGGACTCAATGTTATACTAATATTTGTTACTTAGCATATACAATTAGAAATCTAACTTCCTCTGCAGGAACTTTTGCAATGCTTAATGTGAAGGATTTGGAAGGAAAAGGATGGAGAGGAAATAACATGACTAGACTGTGGAGTAGTCCCAACTTCAGATATACTCGTTTGTTTCCCTTCCTTCCTCTCGCATACCTTCAATCTGTCATGGCCTTTGTTTGCCAACAGCATATCAATGGAAGTTTATGGGGTCCATTTAATAATTGATATCCCAGCCCAATTGGCATTTGGCAATACCATTGATCATTGAATTCTACATCCAGATACATCCAATATACAATAACTCTGCCAACAGACCAGGGGTATCATCACTTAGGGGTCTAATTTAATTTCTTAGGGTCAAAAAAAGCTTCAAGATTGTTTTTTTATGAGCAATTTACAGGTATCTAGAAATTAAATAGCTTTAAAAAGGTGTATAACCTGCAATTCTCTCGGGAATGAATCTGAGAGCAGCCCAAGCATGAATGCATCCACTAGAGTGGCACAGTAACCAGAACTTATCACTAACATTGACAGCATTGACTAGATGCAACATATCCATAGCAGATGAGTTAAGATTTCTGTTGGGATGAGGATCACTCTCCCCAAAACCGGGAAGATCATATGTGACCAAGCGAACACCGTACTCTTCAAGCAATGATGCTTTAACTCCAGGTAAACCTTCCATAAAGAGAAATACAAGGACAATAAGATAAAAGAAAAAAATTCAGTTTCCAATTATGTTCCTCATACAGATTGTACCCAAGTGAAAATTTCTACTTCAGTTCAGTTTCTAGTTTTCAGATATCTGAAAATTCAAACTTAATATTACCTGCTAGTCTGGATGAAAGAAAAGAATGTGGAGCAACAAGTGAAAATCTAGCTGTGTCCGCAGAAACACCATGCTCACAATAAGCCACATATCTACCATCAGGAAGTAGCACACGACTAGCACTAGGAGGATGCTTGCGGACCTTCATCACAGGAGCTACAGCATCACGGTTGGGATCTACACTAATAGCTGCAAATAACACATAAAAAGTCAGCAAATCTTGTACCAAGTTGATATCAACAGGAAACACGTCACTCGTAAGCAATTATAATACTTGTTCCAAAATCTAATCTAATGGAACAGGATATAAAATAAATACACGAGACTTGGCTGAACCAGTATGGAGACAGAAATAAAATAACAGAAAACACAAATCCAATGAACCGCAAAGAAACGAGCAGAGAATCCAAAGCTTCTTTCATTTATAAAAATTCAATTCTCACCTAAGTCTAACAACTAGTATTTTAGTCCTAATAGCAAATATGGTGATAATAATACAATTGCACTCTAATAGCAAATACCATGAAGTGAAAAAAAAAAGTAAAAAACTAACGAATAACCGAATGTCCTTTCCATAAGCAGTGAAATAATAATTAATAGTAATCCAATAACATTTTTTTTAAAAAAAAAGGTTACCTGCGAGCGCAAGAAAAAAAACGAAGAACACAACGGACCAAGCGTGAACAGGATCGCGATCTTCGGGGAGAAAGTCGTTGAGAAACCTCAACCTCTTGGAAACCTTAGCACAAGGCCCAGAAAGCTTCTTCACTACATAGGAATCCTCGTTCATAAGGTTCTGTTGCAGAATGTCTCTACAACCTCTGCCTAACTCCATGAGAATCTCACACCAAGCCATCACAAACCCCACAGCCTGCTCCTTGAAGCTCTCCCCCGATTCCACCGACTCAGCTTGAGCTTGAGGTGCGTACACCGATCTCCTCACCTCAAACGACGTCCTCGAGGACATGTCCAAATCCAGTGGATCTCCGCCGTAGCGTACTCCGGAATCCTCTATCAGACTCGCCAGCTCCTCCGTCCACGTGTCCCTTCCTCTCACTTCCGCCATATCTAACATCAATCTCAATGAAGTTAACTAATTGTGTGAGTGAGTCACGGTTATGACCACAGCCACCACACCACACATCCCCAACTGAAACTGCCTTTTTTTTTTCTCTAAACTTGCTCAAGCGTGATCTAGAAGCAAAGCTTTATAATTAAATTAATCCGACCAATATTCAAGACGAATAATAAAAAATTTCAAAAAGGGGAGAAACGAATACTGGAAAAAGAAGAGGCCAAATAGAAAAAGCTACTCCGAGAATGAGAATCTCTCTTTTGATTTCTCACTTTCGGACACTGTTCAAGCGGATAAAATAGAGGGTTTGTATTTAAGGGGGTAAGTAATAGCAGTTAAGTTACTGCTCCCTGTTTGAGTGAGGATTCATGAGATGAAAATTGATCCAAGTATAGGGTGAAGATACGGCCACGTCAGACACGATACGTTACCACGTGAAGCCAACGGCTCGCGCATTATTAGGTCGTTCTGTCTCTGCTTTGGCGGTTGAGTCTATTATTTATATGCACAAACACTTTAGCTGTCGTCTCCACCCGGTCCTATAGTCTGTGTACACCCACTCTTTTTTCTTTTTTCTTTTTTTGAGGTTAACTTTGACACTTAACTTTTATTATTTTTTATTTTTTATCTTTATTACTAATATGATCTATTGAAATATTATTGGGTGTTATTTTTTAATTAAATTACGTTAATTAAAAATTTTAAAAATAATAATTTTAAAATATCTCAAAAACTTAAAACTAAAATTTTTAATACAAAAACATATTTAATTGTTCTTTTAAATACATCTCATGAGTATTGTTAAGGCAATAAGAGAATTTGACTCTATCATTTCCCGTCATTTATCTTATCCGCACCCAAACTTTATAAATCAAATGTTAGCTAACATACTAATTAAGAAATTAAAAATAAAAATATTAGTGTAGTTTAATATAATTTTAATAAAAAATACTTATTATCACTTTATAAATAAAATCATTTTTAGATAATTAAAATATAGTAAGTATATTATTTAAGGAACTAAAAATTAATTTATATTTTATAGTTAAAATTCATTAACACATAACGTCAAATTTGTATAATTATAATGTTTAATAAATTTTAATAAAATACGAGATTAATTAATTTAATATTTAATTTTATATAAAAAATTAATGACATTTTATTATTTTATTTTAATAGTAAATACATTTCTAAAATGTAAATAAACATAAATTTTTAAATAAAATTATTTATAAATATTTAAATTATATAAAATGATTCAAATCTATGTTACATGCTCCATTCGCACTCTATAATCGCGTGGAGGATTTGATGGTGGCGTAATATAGCAAAACCTAACTGAGAAACACAGTCTCAAATCCCCAAGGCCTTATGAAGTAAAATGCTGACAACGTATCAAATGATATATATCACAGACTTAATTATTTTTTTTTCTTTGTAAAAATGTTATTTTTTGAAAAAAAAAAGTGTTTAATTAATATTTTCTTAAGAGTTAGTTCTGAATTATTTAAAATATCATAATTTAATTTTTGTTGTTAACTTTTTTTTAAGCCTCTTATTGTTGACACGTTATTATCTTGTCATTGTTATTTTTACATTTTTTATTATTTAAAAATTTATATTTATAAGAAAGTCTCTACAAAATCTATTATATATTCAATCTTAATTTTTCCCCTAAAAAAAAGCTCTAGCTCTAAACAACCTATATATATAAAATTAAATAGTTAAAATTAGCAATTATCAAAGAAAATATAATATTTATAAACATGAAAAAGAAATCAATGATGAGAATGTTAAAAGAAATCATGTTGTGTTGTACACTTCACATTTAGACCCTAATCATTTGGGTGTATTGTGTTGCACTCAATATAGAATTGGTGCAAATTCTATGAATTGATTTTTTGTTAACTTAATAAATTGAATTCAATATTGTTACGTTCTTTCTTTTTTCTTAACAGCAAATTTACACTTGAAAAATAAAAAAATTAATTTTTATCTCAATAAAAAATCTGCTTTCAAAATTCACTCAAATCACTCAAGTAAAATTGCCGCTCTGGTCCAGAAAAAGCATTAAAAATTCCTAAAAAAATATATTTAAATTTAATCCTATATTTAACCTAGGTTGACTTCAATAGGTTCACAAATAAATTCGAACCCATAATCACCCGGATTTAGGGCTTGTTTGTAGCATGCACTTAATTTCACTTTTTTACGTCAAATTTTTTTCTTTTACAAAATAATTTTATTAATATCAAATTTAGGATAAATTTTAAGCATAAAAAATAAATCTATATTTAAAATTATTTATTAAATCCTTGTATTTTTAATATATTAAATGATATTTACTTTTTATAATAAAAGTATAATACTTTAAATGCTTTAAATCCTTTATTCAACACTTCAAATAAATTTTGAATATTAATATCTTCCTTCACAAAAAGAATAAAAGCTCATTTAAATTAAAACAATAAATTTATCCACTGTACTGTCAAACATGCAGGGTAGGTGAGGTGCACAGTTTTGCCTTCAATTCGTGGATGAGGTTTGAGTGATGCCAATATACGATACCATGTGACTTTCTCTGAAGTATGCAGAAAATGAAATATATGTAATTATTAGTGAAAAAAAATTTTTTATATGCATCACATTTGTTTAACATGAGAGGATCCGGATTCCACATTTGTATATGCAAATATGTAAAGTGTACATTTATATATGTAAAGTGTACCGTGTACCGTGTACCGTGTACCGTGTACCGTGTACATGTATCAGTATTTGCATACAACTGCAATTAATAATATGAGCAGTACAATGTCATTATCAAAAAGTACGTCTTAGTACAATGTCGTTGTAAAACAAATATTAGTAAGATGTCCATATGCCAATATTAAGACAGTCATGTGATGACACCTTTGCTACCCTAGGAATGGTACTAATAATTTTGTTATCCATTACCTACTTTACCCGTTTTTGGTAAAAAATTTATTAAAAAATAACTACTTAGAAAACAATTTAATCTATTTGGTCATTAGTTTTACTAATTTCTAAATAAAAATATTATTTTCATTAAAAAAGCAATTAAATGTGAAAATGGTGTCATTTAAAGGATAATTTATTTTAAGGAAGTGTTAAATTTATTTTTCTCAATTATAGAACAGATGAACAGGGAACAAGTAAAGGAATCGTAACATTTTCACAAGTTTAATTTCCTTCTTTTGTTTCATAGCACTCGCTGATACTTAGCCACAAAGGGTAGTGATAGGGGAAAAATGTTAGCACCAATAACCACGATAAATTTGCAAGATATGATCATTAATTTCAAACATAATTATTAAACATGGTAGAATCCAGTTGAAAAAATAAAAATACATTCATTCTTTCTTCTAAAGGGCCTTGTGTGTGTGTGTGTGTGTGTGTGTGTGTGGTTGGTTCATGTTGTGTGTTGATCATTTTCTTGTACCAATAATTCCAAGGGTCTAAATCTACCTTCAAGAACCGAACATTCTCATAGAGAAGTTGGCCTTCTACATTGAAAAGTTTTTGCAGAAGAAACTGACGTTTCCATCAATGGGGCATGGCAAATGATCAGAGGCAGGAGAAACATTCCACTTTGGTTATCTTGGCTCTTGATGATATAGAGAACATAGCCCGTTAAATCTTGTTTTTAGAGATTTCCATGTTCATGCCTTTTCACTACATTCTGCTTCACTGTCATATATCATTGTCTTGGTTAACATTCACTAGATAGGTGTCTCCTCTTTGTCGTGCTCAGCTAAAGTTCTGATAACTGTAGGTTGACTAGTTTCTGAGGAATTTGTTTGTTCTACCCTCACTGCATCCCTAAATATCACTCCCACCACTGCCCTTCATCCACCTGTTGAGTTTCACCATTCACAAAAGGGCCGGGCCACCAAAGTAAAAATACATAGAGACAAAAGTAGCATTGCTTAATTTATCTTCCAAAATTTTGTGCCTGAATATGATGAATTCACTAGACCAAAAATAAAGCAAAGGAGGGGTTTATCTAAGTTACTCTAAATATGAGATAAATATCCTCATATCAGGTGGACGTTATCTTAAAAATTACATAAATTTTTTTACTAAAATCTCTTTAATCTATCTAAAATGAAATTTTATTTACCCCGTGGGATAACTTAGATAAATCCCTTGCTAAACAAAGACAACAACAATTTTTTGAATATATATACCAAAAGATAAGCAGCACTGGCAGCGCGCTCCTATGACCATGATAGTCAAAGATGGTGCTGATCTTAACCGTCGTCCCATTAAAATGATTGTAAGCAAAGCATCGAACGCTACCGTGCACGTCCCAACCTTCTTCATTAACAACAACAACCAAAGCACACACAAGATACATAAACACACACATATATATACATTCATACATTAAAGGGAAAAAAAAACTATTTGTGTATGTATTGCGTACCTTACGTAGGGCAAGCGCTACACAAATCTTGGGAGGTGAAGCACAAAACTAGAGCATGCTTGTAAACATACAAATTTCAACATTTTGTAGAACTTCTTTGTTGTGATTTGTCGAAACCGAACGATATATATAGTTCCCACTTTTTGATGATGAAGGATTGAATAAAAACTCTATATTACATCAATCAAGTCCCTAACTAATTAACTAATTCATCACAGACTAGTCGATATCGAGGGTCAGAAGTTTAGCTGAGAACCACAAAGAGGAGACACCTATCTTGTTAATGTTAATTAAGACAATGATATATCAGGAGCGCCATTGAAGCAGAATGTAGTGAAAAGGCATGTATATGGAATCTCTAAAAACAGGACTGAACGGGTTATATTCTCTTTATCAGCAGAACAAGCGGAAAGTGTCTCCTACCACTAAGGTTGGAAAAACAACACTTTCTTCTTCTGAAGAACACTAGAAGTTAGGTTATGTTGAACTTCGAAGATAGCTTTAGAGCCTAGATACTATTGGGACAAGGAAACTCAACACACAACATGAACTCACATACAAAATTCCAATGAAAGGATGAAAGAATGGCCACGAGGTATTCAAAAGTCTAATTCCAAGGCCTTCACTATGAAAACGGTGTTTAGTTATTAATTAAAATTTATTGAAAATCATGTAAATTTTACTCTCTTTTCATTCTTAAATTACTATTCTTTTTATATTTTTACAATTTTAAATAAATTTAAGCTTAAAAAATGTTAAAAACTGTATTGCTGTCATATCTCGAGAAATACAAAATTATGCAATAACTTCATAACATTCTTGTTTCTGTTTTCTTTCTTTCTCTCTCTCTCTCTCTTATTTATATACGATTGTTGTATATGTTTGTCACGTGCACTGAGG